CTGATTCCTATGTGGCCTGTGCTACACTACAGTGTCACTAAGGTCCCGTTGTTTTCAGAACTTCGCTTAACTATTTCACGTCTCTTAAAATATGTTTTTTTTTCAAAAGTAGTTAGATCTCTAAGTGTTTATTAAGTTTATCGTTGAAATATTTAGTTTATAATTATAATTTTATTGGTAATCTACTATGATAATTCAGTTAATAATCTATTTTAAATAGGACTAAGTTTCCTTTCCTTTCGCTTCCTTTATTTTCTGCAAAGATGAGAAAAATGTGGATTGAGATTACATGCAGTCACAACTAGAACTGTAAGTTAATAACGGTATGGTATCTTATCATTCATTTTTTATTTTTAGATCAAAGACGTAAATCAAGTGCTATAGCACCATCACTACAGTGGTTGTACGGTACTATTTTCTATGTAAAACAGTGCTCCAAGAATAAAGAATTCAACCCATACATGTAGAGATGCAAGTGGGTAGTCTCACTACCCGCATAAAAATCCGTTTGCTAGTTTATTTCTCGTATGGTGATATAAAAAATGAACTGGAAGTGAGAATAAAAAATCAACTTGCCCGTCCCGCTTGCACCCATACTTACATGCAATTTGGATGGTCGTGACTGTTTAAGATGAGTCACACTAACGACTGCACATGAGCAAAATCCTGTGAGTGGCTATAGCTAGAAATTCAGAGAAAGCAGGACCGGGTTCAAGCTTTTTGCCATGATTCGTCGCTCGATTTTCGCTGGGGAAAAGTGCTCCGCTTCCACTGATGATTTTGGTGCAGTCGGCTCACGTTGACGCTCGATAAAGAGAAGTTAGTACTACGTGGCCGCTCTCGGTGCACCCGCTTTTAGCTACGCGTGCGGGGCAGCCAACGGCGGGCGGAAGAAGAGGTGAATTGGGTTTGAAGAGAAAGTCCACTGCTGAGTGCTGACTATAATAGATAGTAATATCATCTATAACAAACAGTATAGTTATTGTCTATACTTCCTTCATCCCAAAATAAAGCCATTTTTACGGTTGACACGGGTATTAAAAAAGTAGGTGAGAATGATTAGAGAAAGTGTGTGATTGGTTGAAAAGAGAAAGTGTGTGAAGAAGAATGGTTGTGATTGGTTGAGAGGAGGAGGTAGGTGAAGAAATAGCTTCATTTTGGGACAAGACACTGTGCTAGAAATAGCTACATTTTAGGACGGAGGGAGTAATAGATTAACTGTAACATATATATATTTTATTATCTTCATGGGACCCACCATCTTTCCCAATCTTTTCCTCTCACCTCTTCTCCTCTAGTCCTCCGGACTACGGTGACGCACGTGGATGACGGTGGCGTACTAGTGCCCACGGTGGCTGGGGCGGACGAAGACGCCAATTGCGGTGGAAGATGGCGACAACACAATGGCGGCGACACGACGGCCGCGGCCACAGTGGACAAGGCGACACTGGCAGAAGGACGCGACGACGCAGTGGATGAGCCCGCTGCGGCGGAAGAACGCAACAATGACGACCATGGTGGACCAAGGACGACGACAGCAGAAGAGAGCGATGGCGGCGGCCGCCGTAGACGAGGGCTGCGGCCAAGCCGGACACGGGCTGCCACGGTGGATGAGGTTGTAGCCGAGGCGGATGCAGGCAATGAGCGTGGAGGATAAGGCCAGCAGTCCGACGACCGCAACGGACTAGGCGGCGGCGGACACGGTTGATGGCGACAGCGATGGTGGCGATGGTGGACACGGATGAGGGTAGCGGCGACGGACGCAGTCGATGGCGATTGTAGCCATGATGGACGAGGGCAGCGGCGACGGTCACGATAAACGTAGTCGATGGCAAGGGCAGCCATGGCGGACGAGGACTGCAACAGCGGCAATCTGGTGGAGCGCGACGCCCGCGGACGTGGCAACGGCGGCTTGCGCGGGTGCACCCATCGTTCTTGGTGGGCCGACGTCTCAGACAGAGAGTACACCTGGTGGGCCGACGTCTCGGACAGAGAGTACAGTTGGGTGACTAATTAGTCGCTCGCTCCTTCTCTCTCTTCCCCTCTCTACTTTAGCTCATAAAAAATCCTATATGGATTATCTACCATCTATTATTGTATCCAGTCTAAAACGTCCATTATTTTTTTCCAATCACAGCGTACTTTCACCACGACACCACGTGCGCACAGGATTTTGAGTTATTATGTATTTGAAAGATGCATGACTTTCCCACCGTATGTTAACCAAAGCCAAATATTTTTTTTTTGAAAAAAACCAAAGCCAAATATTATTAACTGTAGCCTTTGAATTTTGGAACTCAAGTCACGCTTTAGAGTTTATTTTGGTTCTCTTTTTTAAGAAAACATAGCAATAGATTAACGTGACATGTTTTACGAGCTTCTAAACTATGATTTTTGCGAAAATTGTATATATGTAAACTTCTAATACAGATATAAAGATTTACTCTCTCCGTCCAGATTCGTAGTCCTAGGGTGGGTTATGGATCTAATCCCATTCTAGATTGCTACATATTAGGACGGAGGGAGTAACTTATAAATTAATTTTTGCTTGTTTCTCTCTCCTTTTAAGACGCAGCTCAACTGATCAAAGCACGGTGATAGCAATGGCCCGTGCATGATATGGCTAACATTTAATTCCATTCACTGCATCATGGTATGCTCTGATTGAATATGCGTGTGAAATTGCGAATGTCCATGCACGTGAATGTACCTAACAGAAACACCCCTGAAAGCATGTCATTTTATATTCTTTTCATCACAATTATGGTGTGCGGTTTGCTATCACCAGGTACATTTGCGTAACAAAAACAACTTAACATTGATATCTTTTTTTTCCAAAAAGACGAAAGGGCAGGAGCCATGACTATTACATGCATTTATACTTGCTGGAAACAAGACATGCGGCCTTGTTTGCCGCTACTAAAGTGTGTTACTGATGACACTATTATCTTAGATACTCTAATGAGTGGCAGACACCTTCAAGCATGACATGAGCATTCCAAGGAGCTGCTTTATCTCACTTTCTTTGAATCTAGAGAATTTCCATCTTTCCGTTTCTTTCCATGTTGACCTCTATTTTCTTAAAGCACCAAGGTGGAATCAGCGTCATACTTTGCCTGATTAAGAGTTGTGTTTGAAAAATCTGTTATTTTGTACAGAATTATTACACGCAGTCACGCCCCCAGTCATTCGTCCAAAGATGGTGAACAAGCAGGGAGCAACACGTCTTGTCTATTATGTTGACTAGGATTAATGGTCAGTTGGGCTGAATGTACTATCACCACTACTGGCTACTCCCTCCGTCTGAAAACATAACCTATTATTATAACGTGACATATCTTAATATAATAAATTTAGACATAGAGTATGTTTTTACTTTTTGGTTTTTTTTAACGGAGGGAGTATGCTCTTATCTATGTTCCTAACTTTACCTTTCTCCTTTTTAACATGTACACTTTCTAAACCGTTAAACAATACATTTTTTTAACTTGTATATATAGTTGTTTTGAAAATCATATTAATCTATTTTTTAAAAGATACCCCATCCGTCCTAAAAAAACCTAATCCTAGCTACGAATTTGAACACATGGTTTATCTTTTTTCGAGACTAAGTAGTAGCTAATACTTAGTTAATCATGCGCTAATGTGTGTTTCCTTTTACGTGTTAAAAAGAAGGGGTTCCTAACCTCTCCTCCCGAACACACCTTTATAAGGTCCCAATATCGTTTTCGTTTTTAACTTTATCATTTTCAGTTTTTTATCAACCAAGATAAACATATATGGCAAAACATGGTTTTTCACTCGTTTCCACTTTCCAGCCGTTTTCAGGTTTTCGCCCTTACCTAAAGCACCAAAGTGAAAAATGTGTCATGCTTTGCCTGATTAAGCAACGTGTCTGGTTAAAATCAGTGTTTTTTTTTTCCAAAACACGGTATGGACGCAATCGCTCATATAGATGTGTGCAAACTCACCTATATAAACGCACACATACATACCCTACTCCTAGGACTCTATAAACACCTCTTAAAAATTAGGTCATTATATCTTGAAGTTCATAAATTAACTATAGACGTCTTATTAAGTTATTATTGGCATGAATGTTGTCTACCCCTAAAAAAAAATAAATAATCGTAAATATGAGCACATGTGCTAAGGCCCTGTTTGGTTCGTGGGACTAATCCACTAGTCACTCTATTTTAATCCTTAAGAATCCAAACAGGGGTGAGTAAAAAGCACTAAAAGTGCATATTGAGACTTATAGGACTATAGTGGCAACCCCTCTCTTCTTCGGTACACATGACTTTAGTCCCTTTTAGTCCCTGGATCCAAATAGTAGGGGATTAAAATTTTAATCCAGGGACTAAATGATTCAAACGGGATCTAAATCTAGAACTTAAATCTGGATGAACATATTCCACAAAAAAACACCTAATCAGTTCAGTTACACTCGCTTTACATGTCAGTGCTTCACAAAAGCGCACCTCATCCGCTAAGTTAGTCTAACGTTTTGATGTTAGATGAGCAAATTATACAGTAGTTGCATTACAGTAGTTACAATGTAATTATCCTACAATTTAAAAGTATTTTAATAAAAAAATTGTAGAATGTTATATACCTCCACCTTGTCACGAATAGGGCAATATGGCCTCGTGAACCAGCACGCCCTGAGGCATCGTCAGGATTCGTGGCGCACCACTGGGCTCTTGTCAATGTTGAGTTTCACGGAAATCTCGTCGTTGACAACCGACAATGCCATGCTTCATGTGATAAAAAATCGATACCATCGTCGACTTTGGAGCGAGATCCCTCAATTGAAAAGGTGCGAACTGCCAAAGTGCCAAGTAAAGTAGTACCAAAAACAAAAGCATTGAGCAGCACGTGTGCCCTAGCAAAGCAGCAACTTAGCATGACCCAATTTGCCAAACATAGCTAGACCAATTTGTACTTGCTGGTAATACACCAATACTAGTTGTTAGTAACAGTTAATTGTCCAGACAGAATTTGTTTGACTGAAGCCAGTAACAATCAGCATTGGTTTCACTATATGATACAGAGATAATATGCCCAAATTATGGCTTCTTGATCACAGTGGTTGTACAGGGTAACTCCAGAATTTTCAGATCTAAGAGCAAAACACTCCTACATTCAATGATGTCAATCAGATCAGAAAAGGACTTAAATCTCAACTATGAATTGAGAATATCAAATTCGTGGCTATCCCTGCTATTGAGTTACATATATGTACAGGCAAACAGGCCAGGAAATAAAATTAGCTATCTCCTGGAACAATGGTTACACCAGATGCACCAAAAATCTTCGTGTCAAAACGATTTTTCCATTTCTGAAGTACAACAGCAGTCAAATGGGAACAATACAGCCCTGACAACAGAACCAGGCCACCATGATGCCTAGCAAAGCGCCGGCAAAAACCTGTGATGGAGTATGCCCTAACAACTCTTTCAGTTTTCTTTCACTAATTGGATGGCCTTGAAACAGGTCCTCAACGATCTTATTGAGTACCTGTGTCAATCATAAGGAAGATATCAAGTAACAATAAGCGAGTACTATAAAACTGACAGCATTTGGTGCATCTGGTGTTATTGTGTATTACCATTCAGGAAATAAGCACCCTATCACAAGTCATATATAACACACTATTGCTACTGTGTTGTTGTGATGGCTATCCAAAACCAATATCCAAATGGTCCTGAATCTAAACTCGAGCATCAGAATGCAATCGTGATAATTATCAGGATTTTCCCCTTTCCAAAAAAAAGTATCTGGACTGCATTTTTTTAGATGATATGTACGGCAAGCTTAACTGGATTTGCTGCTTGCTATCAGTTTCCATGTGATAAAACAGTAATGTTACCACTACCCCTTAAAGTAAGTTGATAAAGAAAAGCATATTGGCAAAATGATTGCAGGTCTCAGGTCTGTGCCATGTGTTATTCTAAGGTAATATGTGAAGCTTCAATCAGGGAAGTAATATATATTTGAGTAGCTGGTTTTATGATTTACAAAAAAGATAATGAGCTAAATAAGGTGAATGTAGCACACAAGTTTCATACCAAACTACAGCAATTGTTTGGAAGGAGCAAGACATTGGTCTTGAATGCCTGAAATCTATTTTGATGCTAAATACTAAACAATCACAAAACTATTTAACACCGTTCCATTGCCCCCAACAAGTACACTCAAGTTTGTAGTTCAACATATGGTGAAAAAAGTATCTGGGGCCACTGGAAAGCTAAGACAAAGCCAAAATTTGTTTATGCGAAAAGATACTAAAACTGCCATATAACAACTTCTAAAGCCCAAATAACAGCAGCTCGCACATGATTAACTTTTGCAATTTGGCTGGCTTGTTTTATATCAGGACAGCCATAATCTTATATATGTAGCACAATTCATAATAGTATCGCAATGATGCCAACGCGAAATCATAGTCCCCATTGAGTTCAGAATGTTAGCTTCAGATTTTCAGTTGTAAGTCATATCACAAATTTACAATCATTTGCAAATGGTAACCATTACACTTACTGCTGAGAGACGAAAACCATAAAAGCAGAGTAAAATGAACACCAATGTTATCCCAAACAATGATAACATAAGCAATCAATCTGTATGTACACCACAAATACTACCACATTGAAAGTAACAACATAGGAGTATGCAATCCCATAATCACTCCAACATTGGGTAAAAATGTAAAATATACCACCAGCCGCAAGTTCAAACCTCACAAGGGCCATCGAATCAGTCATTCATCGATGATTGAACAATGTGAACAAAAAGTATCCTACCCCAAATAACAAGCAATCTCTGAATCATTTTGACAAATTAGCTATCAAAATCAAAAGTTCAGAAAAAAAAATGTATCACATACATCTAAATGCAATACAGAAATGGACAAAAGCAATCGAAGCATTGGCTCACCTCGGCCTGCATCCCCGCGTGGCGCCTGACGCCCGTGGCGTCATACATGACTATCAATGTGAACCCGAGGCAGACAGGGAAGAGCGAGTCGCTGACGCCGTGGCAGAGCGCGACGGAGGCGGTGAGCGCGGTGCAGAGCGCCGTGTGCGACGACGGCATCCCGCCGGAGCTGAACAGCATCCGCAGGTCCCACCGCCGCTCCACGAACGAGGTGAGCACGACCTTGGCCGCCTGCGCCACCGCCCACGCCACGAGCCCCGACACGAACGTTGGGTTCGCCGCGAGCGCCAGGATGTACGGGTTCTCCCGCGCCTTGGTCACCGCCGCCGCCGTCGTGCTCATCAGCAGCGTCCCTATCCTCGCCCCTCCCCCCGCCGCCGTCGCCGCCGCCCCCGCCCCCACGGCTAGGTCCGGGAGCTCCCCTCCCGCGCGCCCTCCCCGCAGCGCCGCGGCGAGGAGCCGGGAGAGCGAGGCGGGCGGCCACACTGGCGGCGGCGTGGACGGCGCCGCCGCGGCATCGGAGGACGAGGAGGATAGCGTCTGGACGCGGCGGCGGCGGTGGCGCGGGGGCTTGAGCGGCTTGGAGACGGGGCTGAGGAGGCTGCTGGGGAAAACCCTAGAGAAGCGGCTGGAGCTGAGCACCTCCATGGCTGCTGCTCCGCATCGCCGCGGAGGTGGAGACTGGAGAGTGGTGGTGTGGCCATGGCGATTAGGTGGTTCAGTTATTTTATACCGATGTCACATTGGACAAAATTACCCCTGGTTTTCTCGCGTTATTACGTTATTACCGTGGTTGGTGGCATGGGAGGGGTAGATGCTGCAGGGGTTGTTTTGGGGAATTCGCCACGGTGGCATATTACTGCGAAGATTCTCGGGTGGTCGGAGTCGCCGTCTCGGCGTCCGGCGCGGCCAATCGCCGGCGGACGCGTGGCCGGAGCGGCCAGTGCGGTCGGGGTCTTGGACCCAGTGAGCTCGAGTCGACACTGGAGTTTTTGAGCTTGGCTTGTGGTGGCAGCTTCGGAAATTTTCCTTTTTCTGTTTGTGAGAAATGGATTTTGGGAAATTTTTCTTGTGTTCTTTGTTGTTCCTGACAATGACATACTGCTCCACCTGGCACATATTTTCTTCTGCCTTGGAAATTTGCAATCAAAGAAATGCAAGAGTGATGTATGGCCATTTATTCCCACAAGCATATTCTTTTTTTCCAATAGGGAATAGCATATGCTGATACGAAGCTCGAAATTGCTCGTTTTTCTCCCCCCAGCATGAATTTCTTGCAAATAATTATATATATATAACATAAAAATATTTTCAACACAAACAAACATATTATCAAAAAATAAATAATATTATTTTAATAAGACTAATTTGGTATTTTATATAGTTGTTATTAAATTTTTCTATAAATTTGATAAAACTTAAATAAATTTGACTAAAAGAATCAAAGTGATTTATAATATGAAATGAAGGTGGTATTTTTTTTTCGCAATCCCCGAGAAAAGCAGAAGTATTTTGAAGTGTGGCTCGAAAATCCGTTTCTTTGTAGAGAAGGCGTATTTTTTCCAAACACCGCCTTCGGGCCACCGCCTTGCGATTTTCCCATAGCCCCAGAGTCCCCAAAACCCTCTCCTCGCTCGCCGCTCGCCGCCGCCGCCGCCGCAGCCGGCCCAGCCGCGGGAGATGTCGCTGTCGAAGCCGTTCTCGGCGCGCCGCCTCGTCCCGGCGCTCTTCCCGCTCGCGCACGCCGACGCCGCCTCGGCCGCGGCGTCCCGCCGGGCGCGGCGCCGCGACGCGTTCGTCGCGACGCCCCCCACGCCGCCGCCGTCCCCGAGCGCCGTGCGCCTCGCGGAGCCCCTCCCGTCGCTCGCGCCGTCGCGCCTCGCGCTCCACAACCGCATCCTCGCGCTCCTGTCCCCCTCCTCCAAGGACGGGGAGAAGGGGGCCGACCTCGCCGAGGCCGCGCTCCTCACCCGCCACGCGCTCCACTCCAACTGCCGCCCTTCCTCCTTCACCTGCGCCGCCGTCCTCGCCGCGCTCCTCCGCGCGCGCCGCCTCGACGACTTCTTCGCGCTCCACCGGTTCGCCCTCCAGGCCGCCGTCCCGCCCACCGCCGCCACCTACGCGCTCTACCTCTCGGCCCTCGCCGCGCGCCGCCTCCCCGACGCCGCGCTCCACCACCTCCGCCTCATCTCGCGCCCTGGATCCCCCGTGCCCCCGTCCCCGACCGCGTATCGCGTTGTCGTCAAGTCCCTCGTCGTCGACCATGGCCGCCTCACTGATGCCCTCGAGCTCAAGGATGAGATGCTGGCCTCCGGGTTCGTCGGGCCCGATCCACAGGTCTACAACCTTCTCATGGCTGGGTTCGTGGAAGCCGGTGATGGCGCCAAAGCCGTGGAATTGTACGAAGAATTGAAGGAAAAGATTGGCCGCGAGCCGATTCTTGATGGCATTGTGTATGGGAGCCTCATGAAGGCTTACTTCCTTATGGGAATGGAGGAGAAGGCAATGGAGTGTTACAAAGAGGTTCTCGGTGCAGAGTCGGAGGTGAGGTTTGGAGCTGAGAGTTATAATGGTGTGGTTGATGCGTTTGGGCGGAACAGAAGGTTGGATGATGCGATCGAGCTGTTTGAAAGAATGCTTCGGGAGCATGATCCTCCACTAAAGATTGCTGTTGATGTGAGAAGCTTCAGTGTGATTGTGGATGCTTACTGCGCTGCTGGTAGGTTCGGTGATGCAATTTCTTGGTTCAGGAGGATGGGGGAGTGGGAAGTTGTTGCTGATGTTGCAGCATATAATAATTTGATCCGGCATCTCAGTCTTCAAGGGTTGGTAAGTGAGGCCGAGTTGCTATACAAGGAGATGGGAGAAAGTGGTCTTAAGGCAGACGAGGAAACATATGTGCTACTGATGCAAGGGTGCTTTAGGGTTGATCGCATCGATGAAGGCATTAATTACTTTGACGGAATGGCTGAGTTGGGGTTGAAGCCCGACGCAACTGCCTATCATAAGATTGTTGATGGCCTAATTGGTTTTGGTATGCTGGACAATGCCCATGGGTATCTCGATAAGATGAGGGGGAAAGAAATTAGCCCAAGCATTGCAAGCTATGAGGCACTGCTAAAGGCGTACATTGGTGAAGCTAGTTTGGATAAATCAATCGACATCGCAAAGGATATTCTTTTGGATGAGAAGGTGGTGTTCAGCGATGAAATGAGGGACCTATTGGAAGGCGCACTCCGTGAAGCAGGGAGGGAAGGTGACATAACCAAACTATACGAGGATGTGGAGGAGAAAAAAGCTGAGGCAGCGGCTCGGGCAGAAGAAGAGAAGGCAAGGGCAGAAGCTCTTGCAAGGGAAGAAAGGGAGAAGAGGAGGGCAGAGGCTGCTGCAAAGGACGAGGCTGCAGCTAGAGCTAGTGCCGCTGCCATTGAAGCCATCCTTGGCCATAAAAGGAAGACTGAAAATGTAACAGGAGAACCTGCACCTGATGCAAACTCACTGGATGGTGTGTTTCAGAGTAGGTTTGGAATCACATCAGCTGGAGATGGTGCGCTTCAAGGCACTTCTTCAGGAGGTGAAACTAAACAAGGAGATGGACACTAACATTTGATGACCACAGGAAATCATGTCTTAGTCTGCCTGTGGATCTGATAACCCCGTCATTTTATATCGATTCTAAGAGCATCGATCAGTAAATTGAAATTCTCAGAAGCCTGAAGATTTCAACATTTGGTGTCAAATGAGTAAACGGCAGTAACTCTGGTTGAGTCTTTTGTAACTGCAATTATTGCATACGAATAAAATGACGGCCACAAAATTTTGATGCATTACGGTTTAAAGGCCCTTTTCTATTTGTGCAGTGTGAAATATTTTGCCAACTTTCCTTTTCAATTTGCCACCAATTCTTTCTCCTCTGTATTACGGAGACCAACCTTGGCAGTTGTGAAAAATATCAAAATATTATAGGTGAACCGTGAGCCCCAGATATTTCCAGGCTCAAATTTGTTGCATCCCATTTATCAAAAAGACAACAATGACACCGTGACGAAAATAAAGCTTAATGCTATGCTTTATTGTGTAAAAATGTTGGCTTTACATAGTATCGACACAACCCATTCGTATATCGAGGAGAAGCAGTGAAATGTATGGTAAACCCACAGCTTAGTTGCTGACAAAGCGACCAAAAGGCAGAAGCTGACAATGCGAGTACGTTTAGGGTTCCCAGGGATTAACCCTGGCAGTCTAATATTATTCTGGTAAACATATAGTTCTAAGGCTCCATCATCCCGGAAAATCTTGGCTCCACATCCTCGAGAATGCACTGACCCTACAGACTCTTCATCAACAAGAACAGCAATTATCTTCTCTTTTCCCTCTCTTGCATCAGGAATCTGCAAATAGAACGAAAAAATTAGTGCTGGTCGATGTTGATAGAAGTTACGGCATGTGCAAGTCACCTCAAACATTGCTTCTGTCAAAATATCTTCCATTATAGATCTCAGTTCTCGAGCCCCTGTTTCTCGTGAAGCTGCTTTCTTTGCTATTAACCGCAAAGCATTTTCAGTAAAATGCAGCTTGACCTTACATGGGTAAAATGAGAAAATAGTTTGTTGTTAACATACCACAGAAGACGGTGTTTTTAATCATAACTTGCAGTTGAATCAAAACAATCAATACAACAGAACCAGACTCACATCATTCATTTTAAACAACTTCTTGTATTGTTTTCCTATTGCATTTTTTGGCTCCATGAGAACCTGAAGAGATAAAGTAGATTCATTTAGGAATATGTGGTCAAAAATAAATTGCATAAAATTACAAATTTATAGAACCATTGCTACCTGAACCAATTGAGCTTCACTGAGATCATTCAAGCCAACTGTTATTGGCAACCTCCCAATAAATTCTGGTATGAGGCCGTATGCAATCAGGTCATCACTTTCAATCTAAGTAGGAAATCGTTGAAAATTATCTCTATGTGGAATTAAAATAATGTGTTTGACAAATGTCAGCAACTGATCTTACAGCTTCAACACAGCATGATTCCCCGATAGCATTTGTCCAACCACAGTTTCGCAGATCACCAGATGTTGGAAGTCCAAACCCCATATGACAGTTTCGGTGTCTTCAATAGCACAAGTACTTTAAGGCAATATATAAGTCTGGATAAAGATGGACAATTCAGAGAATTATAGAAGTTTGTATTATTTGTAAGTGCACAACCTTTCTGATACTATCTTTTCCAAGCCAGAGAAGGAACCTCCACAGATGAAGAGTATATTCTTGGTATTAACCTGCAACACAAAATAAGTCTTTTTAAATTCTAACAACCTACTTTGAGTGTTCTTGATCATAATATACTGGAACTATAAAAAGTATCTTGCAAGAAAAAAAAATCCTATTTTATTATTTCCAGGCAGTTATTCTTTTTTTGCCCGGCCTGACCAATTTCATTAAGATAGGGAAGAAACAGGCAGTTATTCTATATATTTCCAATTCAGCAATGATCAAAGTAAAAGGTTACCTATATAAATCCCACAACAACCTATATTTAGAGACAGATGGAACTTAGTAATTACTTCGACTTTGAACCACAAATGCAATTTGCAGAGTACGACAACACCAATGATAAATTACATTTGAAATCAAGAACCCATAACTTCGTTCTGTAGCAAAACTATCATGCTGATAAACAATAAGGTAGCTATTAACAAAACAATTTAACTGACTTAACAACTTAATCAAAAGATTCAGAATCAATACCTCGACATAACCATCGGATATACTATCTTGATTTCTTTTTCTTGGTACATTGATGACCTAAGAATGATAGCAACAAATGGGTCTTATTTCAGAGACAGAACATGACTGAATGTACATTCAGGGAGAAAAAAAAATTATGGTCAGCATCAGTCACACATGCATTAATTGACATATACTTACATGTGTTGTTAATCAGATCTCACTCTCTTCAGAAGGGCTAGTGTAATTACCAAGTATGAAAAATACAAAGATAAATTTACTTTACAGAGCAGAAGATTAATATATGCACTTACTGTTCCTTCAAATATTTTTAACAAAGCATGCTGGACACCCTCTCCAGAGACATCCCTCCTGTCCTCATTGCATTCAACCTGGATGTGGGAATGTATCCAATTATTGCAAGTGCAGAAACATTCGCTAGGCACGGAAGTAGTTCAAAACTAATTTGTTCAATGACCTTCTTTATGAGTTTATCAACTTCGTCGATGTAAACAATCCCGCGCTCTGTGGCTTCCACATTGAACTTAGCAGCCTAAAAGGAAGAACATGTCAGAAAAGCAATATATGGTTTATGGTTAATGGTTAATAGTTTAATATATAAGCTTGATCCTGTTCAGATTATGCCCAACGTAGCTATTGGCACCAAAACATTTTCTTGCAGATGATAGGTGATCCAAGATTCATTATACACAAAAAGGAACTGGTTATTAACAATTTGCAGGAGAACTGTTAGTAGCATGGTAGCTTAGGAAAATAATGTAAAACAGTATTCAACTAAAATATTAGGAACACTAGATAGCCCAAAAGAGTACATAAATGGCCAGAAAGAGAGTGATAGGCTGTTACATACCGCCAGAAGATTGCAGATTATAGATTCCACATCTTCACCTGAATACCCAGCCTGAAAAGGAAGTTGTTTTGGCATCAGAAAGAAGAAAATAGCATACACAATCAGCTTTTTTTGCCACGATAGCCATGACACGCTGGAGTAAGCACACATAGAAGAAATTTTCAGAATGCTTGAACCAGCCTTTCCTACCTGTGTAATTGCAGTTGCATCAGCAATCACAAATGGAACATCGGCAAATCGAGCTAAAGTTTTTGCTAACAGTGTTTTACCTGCCATAGGTTCATAGCAAAAGAACGAGATAAGCAAACAGCATTTTCACAGTACAGATGAACCACGTATGTGTTCGCGTCACCTGACCCTGTCGGCCCAATCAGAAGGATGTTACTTTTTTCAAGCTCAATGTCATCATCACCACTCATACTAACATCGCCACATGCCGAGCTCTTCATAGAACTATATCACCACAGATGAAATTGAAGTCAAAATCGTGATGCATAACTGAACCACCAAATGAAATTTCCAGAATCTAACCAATTTGAAGATTCACTGTATATCCTCTTGTAGTGATTGTGCACGGCAACACAGAGCACCTGCATAAGCAAAGCACCCTTGTTAAACCTAGCCGCGAAATTTGTACATAGTTCCATAATTTCAATCGAACTTGCACAATTGTAAATTGCTAGCAGATAGATCATATATGTAGTAAAGCAAAGTAACTCATGCTCAAACTCGAGCTCATAGCGTCATCACTGGTCACACCCCCAATCAGCTACACAGTACACACCACACCAACGAGGAGGGAGGTTTCGTTAACCTTCTTGGCCTTGTCCTGGCCGACGACGAACTCGTCCAGGCCCCTGCGGATCTCCTTAGGCGTCGGGAACCGACGCGGCGACGAGGACTGGGCCGTGGAGGAGTAGGAGCGGAGCGCAAACACCGCCGCGGACAACCGCGAAGCGGCGCCGGCGCCGGCGCCGGTGCGGGCGGCGAGGAGGAGGCGGCGAGCGGCGGAGTACATGAGACCACCCGCCGCCGCCGGCCCCGGTCGCCGGAGCAGTCACCGGACGGCGATCTGTTCGCCGATTAGCTAACTTCGCTGCCGATTTTTCGCCTGCGCGTTATTATTCGCTTCAGAACCTTCGAAATTATACTAGATTATACCGCAAATGCGGAGTATAATTTTCGTTGGCCCATATAAATGAGGCCCATCATAAAAGTCCACATGGCAGCTACTATTTAGGCCCATATAAATGCAGCCCAATATCGGTACCGCGTGATGGTCCGATGTGGGCCTTACTCCTCGATAAGTCTGAAAGGTGGACCCAACTTAGTTTTAATCTGGGCCGTTTTTGTTCGATCAAGCGATGTCCGGTGGCCCAAGGTAGGGTCGCTGTCAATTATAGCGATCCAAATAGGGTCCCACATTGAAGAGTTACGTTTAGCAAGGCTCTTTTTTGAAAAATTTACCCGCACATCTATCCTTGATCTGGGCGGCCGGTGTTTGATCAAGCTGTCTACGTTGGATAAGGTTTTACAAATGGTCTTCATAGAAAATTTACCATCAGTCGTTCGTTCAGAATCTAGCTGGATTTGATTACTATATTAGACCTTGAAACTAAGAAGAGGAGACATAATGATACAAACTTTAACTGAGAAATGGACAAGTGTAATGCAGTTACATACATTTACATCACAGATTCACGGTAATGGATAAGAACCTACATAAAACAGGGAGAGATCAACTAACCGAGTTTGCAATGCAAATCCTTGTCAGTCAAAACTCAAAACTCAGAAGAAATAAGTATGAGATAAGCCATCAAAATGTAATGTGTATATAGGTATAAGCACACCAATAAGCTTGGTGCTAATGTTAATCGACAATTATCAAGAACAGAGGCTAAACTGAAATTTGCTAAAAGCAGACTTGGTCACTGAACTGAAAGATAAGGAGAAAAGTGCATGTCCACATACAGAGAGACAGAGAAACTATATGCTTGCGACAATGAGAACTGGCATCAAACACGCAGCAAAATAAAACAATCAATGGCATCAATATTCAATAAAATATCGGAGAAAAATTACTGCATACTTCAACTACGATTCACTGAATTATTGAACTTCGTCATGTTGGTTTAACTGAGCCGTCTGTTACACCAGCATCGAGAAATTTCGGAAAACAAAACTCTGAATCAATCAGTCATCCCATCTCAAAAAACTGATATCCTAACACTCTAGCAGAGTCTTCAATGAGAAACGGCGAGTCGGCGACTAATGTGGTTGCTTAGCACTCAGACATGGTAGCCAGTGAAAGTAAATCCTCTACCAACGATCTCACCAACGCAGAACCACGCGTACAACTCAATGCCAAAAAGTGCAGCAACGCCAGCATGCTCAACGTTCAGATCCTTTCTGTTTCTCCACAAGTTCTTCACTTGATCCGCTTCCTTCCAGAATGCCTCATAGCGACCAGGAAGGCTGCAAGAAATGTGTCACTAGTCAGTAAAGACACAGAGATTGAAGATACGAAATGCACCTTATAATGTGAGTGAAATTATGGTATCAAATGAATGATCAAGTATCTTCTGTCACCTATGTAATGAATCATCAAATTATGGCACCATATCAGATGTATATTATAATTCATAATAGCACTGGCAAAGACAACCAGAGGAATGTGCACTGAAGGCGCACTTTTAGCACAACACGGATGAATAATAATGGTGAAATAGACAAACTACTACTCTATCTCTATGAAGTACAAGCAAAATGCAGCTCAAACAAATAACTAGTATCGGTCTTCTCAAAAGACAAATGAAGACAAAATGGCTGATCAGGAACAATTACATCCCTGGGACTCTGTCCAAGAGAAAAGCATTGGCTCAAAACAAAGTAATTTCTCACAGTTAAAAAAAACTCAAATAAAGCTTGCTTCTCATCAGATCAATCTTGCTAAGGCCAAGATCAGTGACTTTCAACCCACATTACCATATAAACCCACTACCCATCTCTTGCGTCTTCATTTACATAGAATTTAGGAGGAACTTGTTTTCCATGGCTAATTGCATGCAACGTGACAACTTGTTCAGCAAAAATACTTAACATCCTCAAAACACGGTTGCAATGCATCACTATGGACTATGTTCACAACATGACCATTATGCATTATGCATTGCTCAGCTTCTAAGAGACGGGAAGCATAGATTCCATTATTAGGATGGATGGAATAGACATCGCTGATCATTATTCTAACTTCCGATATAGCAGGAGAACATCACCAAAAATAACACACTTTTCAACACTGCAATTTCCAGACTTTCAATGGTACCAATTTCCTGCATTGTCACTTTACATGATGTGCTGCTAATTTATTCAATTAAAACAATCAGCCAAAATTGCTGGTCTATCTAATTAGGCAACATAATTAGGTTTCGCCATAGATGATTAGAATCCCATATTCGGCCTTCCATAATGTGGAAGTGATCGAGATCGTGTTCTAATGGAGTGCGCAATCTAAACAATAGAGATAATTCAGATGTGGAGGACTAAGAGATCGTGGAGAAGGTGGAGGGAGATCGTGAGGGTGGACCGACCTGGCGAGGCGGGTGTAGAAGAGCTGCTTGGAGAGCTCCTGGCACCTCTCGATGGTGGGCGGGTCGGCGACGTACTTCTGGTTCTTCTCCATGAGCGCCCTGTGGTACGCGCACCCGTGCTTCGCCGCGAACCTCGCCGCGTCGCACGCCTTCGCCTGCATCTGTGCCAGCTTCGACGCCAGCGCCGCCATTAGATCTGCTCCAAACCGAACCACAAAACCCCGAGGTGGGAATCGCAACAGCAAATGCGGTGAGATCGTGAGGAAGAGGCCTCGATTTGGATTCGAAATCTAGTGGGGGTTTCTCTGATTTACCTGCGGGGGAGGGGGAGATCGGAGGGAGAGGGGATCGAAGAAGAAGGCGGCGTCGCGAGTCTGAGAGCGAGCGGATTTTGCCTCTCTTGTGGGGAGGTATAAAAGGGTTGGGGCTTTTAGGCTTGGGGAAGGGGTCAAAGCCGGTTTAGTTTGGGTAAATCACGATTTGATTTAGGAGTATTTTTATTCAGGTGTTTCCTACTATCTACTATTCGTTTGTTACCCGGATAGTTTTTACTTTATCTGCGGGTGAATAGCCCATATAGTGATATAGGCTTTGGAATTTTGCCCCATGGTCAATTTAGTCTTTGATGTTTTAAATTATCCAAACAAATACTCAAGATTTATCAATTGGTTTAACATAGTCCTTCGGTCCAAAAGAAACGCCATAAAAACGTCATGTGGACATATCACGTCATCGTGCAAGGTCAGCAATTGTACATTCTATCTTTATATTTACTGTAGTTAAAAAGAAAGAAATTGGGATAAAAAGAAAAAAAACAAAAAGTACGCATGACTTAACTTCTGAACTCTCCAATATACAAGTTATATAGACTGATGAGTAAAGAAATCAGAACATATAGCAGCCATTAACAATTTATCATCACTTCTATTAATTTTTTTTATATTATCATCACTTCTATTTACACAAGTTGGTAAAGTATACAGCATCACAACGCCATTGAGCGTCATACCCAATGTTACATCACTAGTAGAAGACAACACAAATTACAAAATATTATACATAGTATTAAAGCAGCAACACCGCAACAGCATCACCAATTGTTTTTTTGTCCATGAACGGTGATCAAGGTAGCCAGGAGCTCACTATCACTGCATCTACTACAGAGAGTTTGATGATCGGAAAGCACACGCTTTCCTTTATTTAACACAGAAGCTCGATAACATTTTGACAGGATCGTATTCGTAGCAGATAGGAAAGCAGAGAAGTGCTGGTTCACTTGTTCCACCAGTGAAGGAAATCCCTGCGCCTGTTGATCTTCTTCTGCAACTGCAGGACGCCATACAGTAGAGCTTCAGCAGTTGGAGGGCATCCAGGGACGTAGATGTCCACGGGAACAATCCTGTCGCATCCGCGCACAACGGAGTAGGAGTAGTGGTAGTATCCACCACCGTTGGCACAGCTGCCCATTGAAATAACCCATCGAGGTTCTGGCATCTGATCGTAAACCCTGCAGAGAACAACAGACAGCTACAAATGTCAGCAACATTGCAAACTATAGCTGTGCGACTATCGGTATTGAGCTGGTAGTGAATAAAAGACAACCACTAAGGAGAAGGTCACCAAGTTTACACAGGTGTCTGTCAGTTAGTAGTTCACATAAAAATTACATGTACGCATGTTTTAAAGGTCTCCAACCAATATTATGTTTTTTACTGTTGGTCCTTATTCCTTATGATTCCCATAATACACGCACATTGAGATTTGAGAACCATGAGATCATCAACACAAAAAACACTGTTCTTTCAAAAAGCAATAAACATGTCGGCAATCAGAACCAAATTCTCATAAGAAAATAGGTTTACTCCGTAGGGTAACCATATAGGCACACTTGCAGAGGTTAAACCAAATTCCTATAAGAAAAATAGCTATACTCCCTAGGATAACCATATACATACATTTTGCAAAGGTACTACAATTGAAGGGTTTTTTTTGGACGAAGTACTACAATTAATTAAAGTATGTGACCATACTCCACTAAGGAACCAGCAATCTTTCTTCTACAAGATGCATACATTTAGATTTGTTGCTTTCATGGGATTCTCTGAGTAAGCAAATGGACATGTTTTTATTTCAGCATAGAAAGTTGGAATGTAACACATAAAGCACACAAAATATTATTGTACTGTGTACCTATGAATTTTATTCATGAGGTGTTTAAACTCATCGAAGTACCTATGAATTTTATTCAAAATGTATTTAAACGAATTGCACTCTCCATATCCTAAGTCCTAATAATGCATTAGAAACAGTACCAATTCTAATATTGGTACTACATAGCTACAAATAAAAGAAACAATGAAGGGAAATCACTCTTTAAGTACAAAACTTAACTACTTTCAACTAACAGAAGTGGATATGAATGCATATTTAGCAGTTGTACTTACATCAACCATGTTCACAAGACACATGGCTCATGTTTTGATATGGAAAACCATTATTCTATTCAATGAACCCTTATGATATTTGAACAAGCACGACACTGTTCTATTCCTGACACTAAAAAATGCACGTGCCTCTGATTTACAAACGCATGCTAAACCAGTATACAATTCTCTATATAATCTAAGAGGAAAAATAGTTCAACGGCATATGCCATACAAAACCGAAGCTGTGAACACATGGGAAGCTCAGACTAAGCGCAAATTTATCTACTCCTATGAGGAACACGCAAGGGATTGACGCCTATAAGGATAAAAAAAAGAATCTGCAAAAAAATTGATCTGCACAGAATCATTCTTAATGAAATTGGTCGGCCTCGTTCGGCCGACCCGGCAAAAAAGAATCTGCACAATGAAGTATTAAACATCGTATGCAACTTGACATGACAAAAAAAAAATCCCCAATCCAATCGCCCTCCTCTACCGAAGTCTATATAAGCAGCATCACCAACCAATTCAAAGTGCAAAATAGAGCATCCTAACAGAAAATTGCTACTCTTCTCTCAGAGACGATACGAAATAAATCACAAATTTGATGGTTATATGTAAAGAAGAACGCAAGGTAAAGGGCGCAAGTGTACGGACTTGCGGAGCGCGGGGGCCATCTTGTTGGTGAGCGTGCCGGCGACGATCATGCAGTCGGACTGGCGCGGGGAGGGGCGGAAGATGACGCCGAACCGGTCGAAGTCGTAGCGGGAGGCGCCCGTGTGCATCATCTCCACGGCGCAGCAGGCGAGCCCGAACGTCATGGGCCAGATCGAGCCCCGGCGCGCCCAGTTCATCAGGTCGTCCACCTTGGAGATCACGAACTCCGCCGCCTTGGAGTTCGCGGCCGGCGGCGGCGCCCCGCCGTATGGCGCGGGCGACGCGGAGCCACCCGCGCCCGCCGCCGCCGCCGTGGCGGACGAGTAGGCGCGCGGCGCGGAGAGGGCCGCCAGCCGCGCCGCGCGGGGGAGGAGCGCCATGGGTGGTCGTAGGCGAGCGCGGCTTCGACGAGTCCGAGTCGCCGGGGAGGTGGAGAGGTCGGCGAGGCGAGAGGGGGGAGGGGGAGGAGAGCGGTGCGGGGACACGCCTCCACACTGCAGTACTCCTAGAAACTAGAAAGTTGACTGGTCTGGTCGGCTCGCGTCTGTGCCACGTGGCAGAATATAGATGGACGTGATGAATGATGAGGCGGTTTTACCGAAGCGAAATGTGAGGCCCATATGGGAACAGGCCCAGGCCCAGGACCAGGCCCAGACCATTGGTTCCGCTACCTTTGGTCTATTTTTGTTCTCTTGGTTCCTAAATCTAGGAGTATAAATATTTCTGGAATTCAATTTTCATACATATTTTTTTTGGATACTGATTTAATGCACAGAAATCTAGGTATTTTCAGCCAATAAAACTTATAGAAGAGAAATCCAATCAATTCAAAATTTAAAATTTGACTACTGTTGTGACCGAATGGAAATATCCCCTTTCCTTAACGGTGGGAGTACATCAGAGAAGAAAAACATGAAATTTTCTACATGAATTGTAGTGTTCTCTAAAAAAATTTCAAAGAGCCTATGAAATTTTTTTCTACATTTCAGAGTTCAAACAGGAAAAAAAACAGGGTCTGTCTCTCATCTCTTTGCTTTTGACGAAAGAATATTCTATAGACAACACACACGACTTTGCACAAATAACAAAGCACACTGCAAGTGATACAAAGAACAAAACTTATCATTTCACCGTAGCGCATGATAAATATATCGAGGCTAGTGAAATTTCACGACTGAGCAATCACGTACTATAAGTTATATAACTGTATAGTCCACACTGTCACTGGGACACGACAATGGGTGCCAAGATTTTAGTTCTTCGACCATTCCATAACTGCACTATGGAACATCTCGGCTTCCTGCATGAGTCTGACGGATCATGTCTTTAAATATCTTGGGTTCCATTCCAAGAATCGAAGCTGCAGATGAAGCCATGTTCGCACATCAGAGAGGTGCATGGTGCGGCTTCTTCAGAAGGCAGAATCTGTGCCTGTGGCATCAAGCGCCGCGTCAGAGAAAGGCTCAGGTCTCACTAAACCGCCAGAGTTCATGCTGCTGCCCTCGCTCGAGCCACTGCTCTTTGATAGATATCTTCGTACTGGGAAGCTGAAGAGGCCCAGCTGAAATCTATCCTCATGTCCTTCTGCACCAGCTGTTTCCAGACCTCAGGCTTTCTATTGTAGTAGTTGAACGCTCTCTCCATTGCACCACTTAGAGCCTGTCAAAAAAGGAACACCCACATGAGTTGTGTCCACCAAAAGAGGAGAGATGAACTGAAACGACATCCACCTTTTCATCAGGATGCACAAACGTAAAGCCATTCCGCAGCTCCTTAGGTATCGTTTCGTCGTCGAAATCGAAGACACTGCAAAGCAGGTGAGTGGGGGCATTTTACATTATTAAGGAGAATAATATTGGGAGATAGTTGGTTAATTAATAACTATTTACCTGTCATTCAATCCACCGGTTTTCCGAACAATCGGCACAGAACCATATCTCATGGCAATCATCTGTGGATACAGAACATGTCAGAATTGCTCAACAGGAATGAACCAAGAACAGCTTTGCAGAACTGCAAGCTTGTGCTCATGAATTTTGGAAAGCTCTGGAAACATGTTTATTTTTGTGTTGATGAAATTCTTCAAATCTGAGAACATATTCTACTGTGGGTTTCAAGGGTAAAGGGCAGAATTTCATTGACTAATTGGAAAAACATCTTGGCACATTTTATTTTTCTCACTCTGTACTTCTGAATTGTGTTCAAAAGTTTTCAATGATCATATTATGAGGTATTGGATCATATATCATACACCTCAAAAAAAATAAGGCAAGAATAAATCCTCTACCAAATAGGAAAAAAAAGATGGAAGTACGATCAGAGAAATTGCTTGCATTGCATATTTATATCTAGGAATATAATTTATCAAGACAATCATAGAGTGCATAGTAAATAAAGAAACAGATTACGGATAATGCTAAATGGCACGTTTCAGTATTTACATTTAATACAAACTACGTAATATAAGTATGTAAAGGCACACCTGTGTGAGGCCACATGGCTCAAACATGGATGGAACAATGAACATGTCAGATGCTGCATAAATCCAATGGGATAAAGAATCATCATACTTCAAAAGCAGTCGGATATTGTTATTGTTCTGAAAATGGTCTGCAATACCCTCAAACTCTCTCTGCAAAGTAAATTAGCACCAAACATGTTCACTATAGCAACAATAAGTAAAGAGGTGTTCAACAAAAGGAGCAAGAGCAACTATTTTTCAAATAAAAAACAAGCTCCATCCATATAAACAGACTAGAAAATAGGCGTGCCTTTTGGCACGCCGGCTGATTAGCCTATTTCTCTTTATAGATTTTACCCAAATTTATTTATTTTATATAAGATTCATTAAAAATGCTACATTTGACGGGGACTCTGTACCCCTGGACAATTAAATGGACCTCAAAATATATATCTATAATTTACTATTAATTTCTATAATAATATAAATAATAAATAGGTCAATATTTAATTTTACTAAAGTATTTTAACCAATCTGTACACCACACCAAGTTTTAGTGTCATCAAATTAATTATTTGATCTCATTTTTTTTTCAAAACATCAAGAATTATGGAACTGGAGGAAATACTTTGGACTAATAGTATTAAAGGAAGTTGTAAACTGGTAAGCACTCTCATAGCCTATTTGTTAAAAATTTAAAATTTTAGAACATAATTTTTAGATTGATTTTGTGTCTTTTTTCATAGTTTGTATTTTTTGGTCTTTGTTCTTTTTACTGATTAGAGGTATGCAGTTTTACATTAAAATTATTTTGGATTGTTTTTTATACATTTGTTATTTTTACGTAAGAATAAGAATTATTTTTGTGATATTGTCATCCTTTATTATGTGACGGTAGTATAATTTTGTCATATGTACGAATAATAAAATAGGGCTTATATATACACATATATATTAAAATTTCCTATTTCAAATTGGTGCACGTATATATCTTCACATGCATGTTTTTACATGCATATATTTTTCCCAATGACTTCTAACCGTGCTGCCGTAGCTCTTAAGGATGGCCCATCTCAGTTGTTTTTTCAGAGGATTAATAATTAGGATATTTTAAGGATGGCCCATCTGTCAGCAAATCAATAGAGCGTCCAGGCGGGGCAAGCCAATCGGCGTGGGCTGATGCGCAAGACCAGCGAAGCCTAGTAGGATCCGTTTACTGCGCGCCAATGTGAAATGGACACGTGTCAACAGATTGATGGTGGCAAAATCCACCAATCAGCTGGCGGGGAGACCCGCCAGCTTTAGATATATAGATTGTTCACGAGCTAGTTAAGTTTTTTTTTTTATTTCCTTTTCTCTACATTCAAATATGATCATGTTAGCTGACCCTACTATAGTTCAGAAGAAAATGTACTTGAATGTGTGGTACTGGACTTGAGCCCAGAAGAACAAACTGTCCTCCTAGCTCAGCTGTTTTGTATATTGCATGCCTGATGAGATGTACACCCTTTTGAGGAACTAGCCTTGTAATACACCCAACCTGCTCAAGGAAACTTTAGTGTGTAGTTAGTCTTGAATTGAAAGCGAAACTTCTATAACAAATGAAAGAAAGCAATAAACCTTGTAAATATTTCACTTCTGTTTTATCAATATACATAGGTAAACCATACTTGAAAAAAAAAAGGGAATATAATAAAACCAGATAGCTAAAATAAACTGCAAAGCTGACAAGAGGGAAAATTCTTAATTCAAGTACAGGTACATGGTCATAATTTCTGTATCCAGTTTAGCAGTAGATGAGGGGATTAAAAATCGTACCAGTGGTTGAGAAGCATTTGTAGAAGATAAGTTTAGCTGCTTTCTGAGAGCTGCTTTGTTTGCTGCCTTACCCTGGAGATCATTAGCATTATATTGAACCTTGAGATGTCTATCTGTTGAAGGATTCCATGTGTCTGTGTCGATTCCATTAAGTATCCCAACAAATTTCCTGGAATGTAATTTGAGTGAATCTTGTAGTCCACGTCCACCCTGAGCACCAGAAGAGCTTGTCAATAACAGAATGCCAACAGACTTCGCTTACAAACTGAAACTACTACAATGAACTTCTAATCAGAGAAGGCACTAGACGTTAGATGGTCGGCAAGACGCTGCCTAGTGCCTAGGTGCGCCTAGGATCAACTTAACAAGGGGCTTCCAAGCAATTAGCATATGACATAAAAGAAAGACAATAGAACATTAATATAGCAACACTGGAGCCCCCAAAGCTGGGCAGACGCCTAATGCACCATTAAATGCTAATCGTGGCAGCTACCTGGTGCCTAGTGTACTGCTTTTAGAACACTTGTAACAATATAGGGTATAAGACATATTGAATAATGGAAACTAGAAACACCAGGAGTCCAGGATAGTTGAGGCATTCTATGGATATGCTGATGTAGTGATATGTATAGCATTACATATAAAGGGATTTATCAAGCAGTCAAGCTCTTAAACAACTCCCTATGTTATGATGCAGCAGCTTATTTCAGTTCATGTAGGAATGCCACTGGAATAAATAAACTGCATAATGAACAACAAGGTAGTGTGGTAGTTTCCCATGAATTGTGCATCAACTTATGGTCTTCTTCCCTTCTCTCACCCCCCCCCCCACCCCCACCCCACCACACACACACACACATAAAACACATGCACACACACAAAAAAAAAAAACTGGTATATAAATTTTGAGAAACACTAATCTCGCCATTAGAAGGTACTACTGAAACTAAAGTTAATCAAATACACACAACTAAAGTTACAAGAAAATTACCTCTGATCGCACCTCTAGTGCATATGTTGGTGATACAGTTGTCACAATGTTGGAATACACAATTGCACCCTGAAAACAATGAACCCAAAACAACCTTGTTGGTATCATACAGGTGAAATTTGAATTCAATCTATTGCACGGTTTCAATGGTCAGTACCTTGACAACATTTATTCTGCCATGTGAATTGTCCCGCATCCTGTCTTCCCTATCAAGTTGCTGAACATCAAGGCCACAGCATGCTAAATCTTGAGCAGGAGCAGCTCCTTGATATTCAAAATTATGGCAGGTGAAGCAAATTCTAGCTGAGTTGAAGCCCAGATTTGCATATGCTTCCCAATAAAGAGGTGCCTGGAATTTCAAAGTAAAAGATGAGCAAATTAATATCTTTAACTTGGCAAATCAACCAAGAAGAGCATGATCCATTTTCAGTGGTCAATTAGCCAATACAGCCAAGTGCATTTGACACGTACCACAAATGCAGTCTGCCAGTCATGGCAATGGATGATGTCAATTTTCTTCTGCGATTGGTAAAGTAATTCCAGTGCTGCACGGCTGAAGTATGCAAAACGTTTAAAGTCATCGTGTTCTCCATAGTATTGTGCCCTCCAAAAGAATTTTGCTGGATGTTGTGGCTCGATAAAATAGACTGGAAGGCCTGCATATGCTAAATTTAGTCAGGTCGATGAAGATTCAATGTTATGACTTAATTTTACAGAAAGGTCGAACTGAGGGATGCTTCAAACCTTCAACAGTCCCAGTCCATATTTTGTTGTTGAACAAATTTCCTTCAAAGTAGGATTGTACAACAACATCTAAAACCTGCATGATAGAAAAATAAAATCTTAAACAAACAAAAGAAGCGACCAAAAACTTCGGTGAGAAACAAACTATATACCTTAAGGTTATTAACTTGGTCATTCTGCATGCAGTCATATTTTGGAAGAATAATCTCTACTAGGTGGCCCTTTTTCTGAAGTGCCTTGCCAAGACCAGATATCACATCCGCCAAACCACCAACCTAAAGAATCATGCATATAAGCAAACTTAAAGAGTAACTGATAGGATTTCAATTAATCAGCATTAACAACAAATCAAATTCCAAAACTACAGCTGCAGCCTCAGCAGCAGCAGTGGGCCATGCTGCATGCAAGGGACTGTAGCAGCTGACTGCAGCACAGCCGCAGCCCAGGCTACCAATTAGACCCTTAGTCAACTATCACATCAGTAGTTTCACATCTAATCAGCAGAACCATATCAAAATATACTAACTAGAAATGTATTTGTGTCAGGAGTAGTAATGAAATGAAATGCACGTGATGAAAGGTTGAAGGGAGTACCAAGGATCACCTTTGCAACAGGAGCCATCTCTGCTGCTATGTGGATGATGTGCAAGCCAGAACTACATTAATCAATAAATTGTAAAACTAAATAAAGACAGAGTATTATCCTATAAACAGGCTTTACTCCTACTAGCAAAGGAGAAAGTGTACCTAGTCCCTGGCAATGTGATCTTTAGAAAATTGTCCACAATTTCCCTATCTTTCATACCTCTGCATGACAAGTATGCTTCCCGAAGACAACTATCCCTTTTCCTGACCATTTCCCGTAATGTATTTGCATCATTGTAGGATATTCTCTTCTCGAGCAACCAACCATCAATCAGAAGAGATATCCTACTCCACAATTCTGAAGGCATGCTACTTGCTGAATGCTCTAGTGATCGTTTCTCAGTTTCCTCCACTAGCTTGCTAAGAATATCGTGAAATTCCGCTATTGAATTCTCATAGAGTTCAATTTGAGAATGCATTTCATGATTACATACTTGGAAGCGCTCTTCTACTGATTTTATCTTTTCCTGCAAAAGATCAACAAAATAACAAGAGAACTTTGATATATTTGCTTCAGCCAACGATGCCTCTAGTTTGTCGACCTTATCTTCCAAATCATGATTGCGTCCCAGAACCATAGCAGCATTCTCTACTTTGTTTGTTGCAGTCTCAAGCAAGTCCCCCAAATTTTCTACTTTCTCCCACCATGCATCATACTGCCTAGGATCAGACTTCAACATATCTGCTTGGGCATCTATAAATCTAGACTCCAGCTCCCTAAGCGAAGCATCTAAAAGAGCACGCTCCTTCTCTAATGTGAATATACTGTTCTCTGTCTCAGCAACCTCAATAAGCATTGTTTTCAGAAATTGTATGTCATCCTTCAGTAGCATATTCTCTTCCTTTATATCATCTAATTCCAGTACTGGTAGAGAGTCATTAATCTCAGTACCGAACTGCCCTTCAGCTGAAAGCTTAAGCCGTGCATCTGTTTCTGACAATCTCGTCTCCAAAATTTTCAACTTCCTCTGTAAGTCTTCTTTTTCTTTAAGAACTGTTTCAACATGTTCCAATGCTTGAAGACGAGCTTGATTCAGAAGCATTATATCTAAACAAATACGTTTGAAGATAATGATTATTATGTGCATGCCTACAACATTATAAATATCATTTATCCAAAAGAAAGGAGCCCCTTACTCTTCTCAGTGTTTTGTATCATTTGTATCAAATCTTCCAATTGAAGGTTTGATATACCATTTTCATCTCCATATTTCTGTTGAAACACACAAAGCCCAAAATATTAAAAGAAGCAACAGTGAACAAGTAGGAGCATACATAAAAATAAAGACGAAATTGACGCAAACAGTAACTTCATGATAACTACTGCATCCATGGTGTCTCTTTCTCTTTCGCTTGTTCACGCTGTGTCTGGGATCTCTCCCGGACTAGCGCGACATTGTAATGTCGCTGTAACATTCCTTTGTTTTTCTCCCCAATCTTAAGAAATTGGTCGGCCAACCTTTGGCCGACCCGGCATTTTTCTGTGAAGATAGCCTGCCAATATCAGGTATTGCCTTTGGATATTAAATTGTTTAGCTAGTTTAGTGACAATGTGTTTCACTTCAGTTTCTTATGTAAAAATAATATAAAAACACAGAAAATTGTATTAAAAGGGGGATATTGAGTGTTTGGGGACTTCAATCTACACCACATACATAGTATCGTGAAATTGGCCCAAATATTATATCAATCTCACAAAATCGGAAAACATATGAAATTGCTAATGAATGTGCTGTGGTACCTCTTGCCGTTCTTTATCACTGGAAACAGATGCTTCATCTCTCTGCATATTCACCCTATTATGGTGTTTATCATTACTTGTACTCTTCCGAGGAAGTTCTGCAGCAGTCCTAGAACCCGCAAAAATGAAGCTAAGCTTAACAGAATTTCTTGACATATTCTATGAATCAAAACAACAAAAATGTACAAATATAAAGCGTTCCGACAGTATCGATTTCTGATGATTTGATCAATGATCATGATTACACAACATAAGCTAGGATATTTTCTCAGATAGGTGGAACATTCCGGTGATTAAGAAGCATTTCAGAACCTAAGCCAAACAATATTAGGAGAGCAGCATTCAGAGGTTGATGATCCCCACTTGGTCACGATCGAAGCATTCTATGCATACAAGCACGCACCACCAAGGGAATTGAATTCCTCGATCCCCTGTCACCCAACCCAACCCAACCCAACCCAAACCCCAAAAGGCCATTCCCCCGGTTCGCCGCAGGAGCAGACTACTGAGAACGAACGAACGAGACCACGCAACACACCAGTAATCACAACCGGGTGCACCGACCACGCCGCAACCACGCGATCCTGCGCTCTGGGCTACCAACCTGAGACCGCGGCGGCGAGCTCGGCACGACACGAGAAGGCGGCGGCGCGCGGCGACTGGGGACGGCGCTAGCCGCCGCCGGAAGAGGAGAGGGGCCGCCTCGGCGCCCGCCGCCAAGCACGCCATGGGAATCGGATGCGGAGGCTGGGGAAGGGGGGCGCGGCGTCGGGGTTCGCGTGGGGCGACGGTTGGAAAAAGTAGCGGAGTGGAGTGAACTGGAAGGAGGAGGGCGGCGTGTGTCTCGTGCGCCGCGCGCGGCCCACATGTCAGTGACAATGGCACACGGTGCAGTCGACTGCATAATCCCAATCCGGGAAGGCGGAGGGCCAAACGAACGGAGGGGGCTATCTGGCGGTGGTCTGGGCCCCACCGGCGTTGGCGCGGAGCGGGGGGGGAGTGGGGCCCGGACGACAGTGAGTGTGGGACAGATGGACCGTCTGCGTCTGGCGCTGCATTCGCTCGTAGCCGTAGGAACGGCTCCTGTTACAGTACAGCATGAAAAAGAATAAGTACTCCCTCCGTCCCAAAATAAGTACAGTTTTGCACTATTTATATTCAACGTTTAACCATTCGTCTTATTTGAAAAATTTTTATGATTAGTATTTTTCCAGTGCCACTATACGAATTTCCAGTGCAATTACAGTTATGGAAAAATGAGACCTGCTATACGTCTGTCGAAATGATCCGACGGTGAAGGGCGACGGTGTGAAGTGATGCTCTAGATCGGACCTGCGCCATAAGCCCGTAACACTCCGGATCAGGCTCCTCTACCTTTAAAGATATGTGTCTTTGTCACTAACATGTGGGTCCGATGAACCCTGAGTCTACCTGTCAGTGACAAAGGTATGGTGCCTCTATGAGTACGTACATATGCCCATCTACAAGTCCAAACCCACCATATCATGTCAACATGGCCACAACTACATGCTGTTTCTGCCGAAGCTTTAGGTCAATCTGAAATTCTGAATCCACTGACTGTCAACTTGATCTCAACATTCTAGTATTATTTACAGTGTAGCAGATGTTATCAAGATCAATTCACATAACTAGGTAAAGCAAATTCTTTTTTTTTTACTCTTTTATGTAGTATAACCACCAATATCAGTTCATATAACTAGCTTATCAATTATCGATTGTGCTTATGTCAACAATTAAGCTATGCATGATTAATTGAGGACCATAAGCATTCCAATAGCATGTGAAAACCCACTTATACTCTCACAGCTGTAATATACAAACAATTTGTCTTAACAGACTTATACAATGTACTGATGAATAGAAGAAACTAAGAAAAGAATTGAAAATTAGCACTGAAGAAGACCCATTAAAATCTCATGTAAGACGATGATTCCATGCACACACGGAATCTGTTTGTTGTTAATTCCACGGACGCGCACGGCCGGACATGGTAATTAGCCACGGTTGTAACTAGGATTTTGGAAGACCCAATGAGATTTAGATTCGGATCACAGCCCAAAAAGGTCAACTCGCGGACGTCCAATACGCCTTCGCCGTGGTCATATATACGATAGTAATGGTCATATGCAAAGCATTTTCACTTAAAAGATACTAGCATAGTTGTACTTGTCATGTACTTCATCCGTTTCACAATTTAAGTTATTCTAGCATTTCCAACATTCATATTAATGTTAATGAATTTAGATAGATATATATGTCTAGATTCATTAATATCAATATAAATATGCGAAATACTAGAATGACTTACATTGTGAAACAGAGGAAATAGCTCTAAAGAATATGGTTTTCATAGCTCTTTCTATTGAACATGTATTTTAATTTTTAGTTTAAACTCAAATCCTAGTCATACTTCTCATTGAACTATAGAAGTATTTATGATGTTTCTTTAGTTGCAATGGTTATAAACAGAACTCATAAGTCATCCAAATGATAAGTCATCCAAATGAGAAGTGTAGGATTTTTCCCCCATCAAATTAATACTTGATTTTCAGTTTCTAGCCGGGCAAACCAACATAGAGACTCTTCGAATATACTCTAGTTGTTATTACATTTAAATCAATTTCTTGACAATAAAGCTATAAGATACCCCTCCGTCTAAAAGAAAAAGCATAATTCACGTATTCAGATTCGTAGCTAGAGTTTACCTTTTTTTTTACAGAGAAGTACTAGATACAAAATAGATAGTAGCGTGCAAAATAAGTGACAGTGTCCTACAACATGCAAAATTTATTAAATTGTGAAAAAAAAATAGCCTTCAAGACCTTATAAATTACAAGTAACCGTTAATGCAAACTTCTCTGTTGATGACTTTTAATGGCATTGTTAGGATAGACATGCTGGTATCCTTGCTGGTAAGTAGTTTTCCTTCATCAAGTAACACGTAGATGGCTTCGCTACCTCCAAACAAATTAAACCTATGGTCGTATTTTGTCATAAAGCGCAATCAAATGTTCATTGAACCTATCCATGTTCTTCAATCCAGAAAAGATCAACATTATTTAAAACAATGATATGCAACATCCACAATAGCTTACTATGATACTAAAACAAAACAGTTGACCTTCAAATTCTAGGGGATGGATGATGGATAACCATGTTCCAGAGATTGCATCACTTGTATGTTCCCTAGATTCAGTCCAGGTTCATGGCCACACTATCTCATCAACACTTGCCTAAAGATTGCAGCAGTTGGAATCCCACGTGTCAACTCCTAGAGCATCAACTGATGTAAGGTAGTCCATTTTTTTTTCCTACTCCTACATCAACGGCAAAAGGAAATTAAAATAAAATAAAATATTTACAGCCCAGGCTCAACCGCTCAACTAAAGTCCTGTTTAGCTCCAATTCGGACCAGAGTTAGGTATTTCTAGTTATATAAACAGATTTTTAATTTCGTTGATAACATTTTAATAAATTATTTTTCTCATTTCAAATAAAATATTAAAATTCTAAATCATTATAATTACTCCCTCCGTTTTACAATGTAAGACTTTCTAGCATTGCACACATTTATATAGATACTATAATATATATATATATATATATATATATATATATATATATATATATATATATATATATATATATATATATATTAGCATTTATATGAATGTGGGCAATGCTAGAAAGTCTTAAATTGTAAAACGGAGGAAGTATCATATAAATTTTAAATCATACGTAGATATCTGACTTGGAGTTATGCCACAAGGTCTATGTAGAAATCTGCGCGAATGCTAATTAGTTAGCTCCGTCCTAAAATAAGTGCAGCCATGAGTTTCCGCACCCAACTTTAATCGTCCGTCTTATTTGAAATTTTTTTATGATTAGTATTTTTGTTGTTATGATATGATAAAACATGAATAGTACTTTACTCGTGGCTTATTTTTTAAAGTTTTTTCAAAAATTTTTTAAATAAAACGAACGATTAAAGTTGGACACGGAAACTCATGGCTGCACTTATTTTGGGACGGAGGGAGCAGTGACTAGACGCACGCGTCTCCACCCGCGCAACTAGTTCACTGTTTTCTCGTTTCTTTTCCTTTTTTATTGATTTTTTTCTTTTCTTTTACCTTCTTTTTTTGGGCTTATTTAAGAAAAATTGTGGCCCAATCTGAAACAGCTGATTTCTTGTTTACGAAATTTATCTATACAAAGTTTCTATAAAGTAGAAAGTTTCATATTGTATTGAACTCGGCTTGTTTGCATTTTTTCATGTGCTATCCAAAATTTTTTATACATATATATATGTACACGTATATGTATATATACATACTTTATACACATATATATACAAAGTTTGTATATATGCGAGCAAACTTTTTATATCCAAAATACATATGTATACATATAAAATTTACACATATAATTCTGTTTGATACATACATAAAAATACACTTACATTTATCTCTACTATTATAAAAATTGAAGATGTTTTTGCCGGTATTTTGGTACATCATCCGTGTTTGAGTCGGTTTTTAAGTTCGTTCGCTTTTGCAAATACAAATCCGTATTTGAGTTGGATTTTAAGCTCGTTTGCTTTTTTAAATACAAAATGAGTTGTATAAGAAACTTTTAAAAAACTCGCATGCTAACTTGAGATAAAGTCAGACTCCTAATTGCAGCTCATAATTTTCTAAAAAAAATATTCAAGCAAATTTCCACAATCAATTTTATCCTAACTAAATAGTATAACAATAATACGATTAAAATATCATTTACCCGTTGCAACGCACGGGTCTTTTTTTCTACTCCCTCCGCCCCCCTGATATAAGGGATTTTGACATTTTTCTTTCACTGTTTGAAATTTTGGAATTATTATTTATTTTATTTGTGACTTACTTTATTATCCAAAGTACTTTAAGCATAACTTTTTGTTTTTTATATTTACACAAATAGAGTGCAAGCAAAATGTTAAAACCCATTATATTAGGGTACGGAGGGAGTAGTAAATATAAATTTTATACGTATACGTATAAAACTGGTATACAAAGTACGTAAGGGCTGGACTAGTCGCGCGCGCGCGCATTAGCGACACCCAGTATATAATCTGTATCACTGTGTCTGTATGGCTGAGTTGTGTAGGCAATCGCTCCACTTGTCGCCTATATACGCCTTGGCCTCTCGGCGTCCGATGCTAGTGGTAGTGGCCCGCAAATCCTCCTCCTCCGCTCGCGTCGCCGCCCACCAAACCCGATCCCACCGCGCCGCGATGCCGGCCGGCCAGCCGCACGCGCACGAGCCCGACGGCGGCGGCGCGAGCCACCGCCGGCCCCAGTCGCCGCCGTCGCTCCCCGCGGAGGTGGTCCCGGCGTTCGCGCCGCCGGAGTCGGAGGACGAGGAGTCCTGGGTCTGGTCCCAGATCAAGGCCGAGGCGCGCCGCGACGCCGACGCCGAGCCGGCGCTCGCGTCCTTCCTCTACGCCACCGTGCTCTCCCACCCCTCCCTCCCGCGCTCCATCTCCTTCCACCTCGCCAACAAGCTCTGCTCCTCCACCCTCCTCTCCACGCTCCTCTACGACCTCTTCCTGGCTTCCTTCACCGCGCACCCCTCCCTCCGCGCCGCCGTCGTCGCCGACCTCCTCGCCGCCCGCTCCCGCGACCCGGCCTGCGTCGGCTTCTCCCAGTGCCTCCTCAACTTCAAGGGCTTCCTCGCCATCCAGGCGCACCGCGTGTCGCACGTCCTCTGGGCGCAGCAGCGACGCCCCCTTGCCCTCGCCCTCCAGTCCCGCGTCGCCGACGTCTTCGCCGTCGACATCCACCCCGCGGCCGTCGTCGGCAAGGGCATCCTCCTCGACCACGCCACCGGCGTCGTCATCGGCGAGACCGCCGTCGTCGGCGACAACGTCTCCATCCTCCACCACGTTACACTGGGTGGCACAGGCAAGGCTGTCGGTGACCGGCACCCCAAGATTGGGGATGGTGTTCTGATTGGCGCCGGGGCGACGATTCTTGGCAACGTCAAGATTGGAGCCGGGGCCAAGATTGGTGCCGGGTCAGTGGTGCTGATAGATGTGCCGGCGAGGAACACGGCGGTGGGGAATCCAGCCAGGTTGATTGGCAGGAAGAACGGTGAGGTTGAGAAGGATGAGGACATGCCCGGGGAATCCATGGATCACACATCCTTCATTCGACAGTGGTCGGACTACACCATTTGAGGGCGACGCGCCGAGGTCTATTTCTCTTCCTCTCTGTATAATCCGTAGTGTTGATATGCCAAAAACTGATGTACTTGTCGTGCTTTGGGTAATCTGTACTGTAGTGTTGTATCATCAGCCGTTTTATCAGTCGAATGCCCATGCTCATGTACTGATAACTGGTGATTGATGAAATGATGAGTCAAATAAAAGTTGTATAACTTTTGATTTTATCATTTGCCAGATGAGTCAAGCTTCAAGGACACATTAGATTGCGATTTTAACTTTTTATTGTGTAAAGATTCCATATGATGTTTCTGCTATTTTATATGATGCAACTCCAGGTGCTATATCTGTGTGCGTGATTTAATTTTACCACAATGACTGATGTCACAATGCATATTCTGAACTTGTGGAGTTGTTATTCAGTTTAGGTGTCACATTGTCCCCCCATCCCCAGTGTCATTTTCTTTACATTAGGTAAATTAAACGAAATGTCAGTTTACAAGAGCTCTTATTGCAAGAATTTGTTCGAAGCTTTTGAAGGGGTTGATGAATGTCTCCTGAGAATTTCTGAAAGCATTTTTGCACATAAAAGGTTCTTCTTCTAGCAGGTTGAATCTGGTGACGGATCATTTTCATTACTTTCCATATGTTTACTTATCCATTGATATGTGGAAACTCGTCATGTGGTGGTGTTTCGCTTTCGCTGTGTACACCTTGATTTGCCTATCTGTACAAGCAGTTACGTTATTGAAGTCAAGCCTTTTTATCCTTATTGATTATGTCGTATTTGCATCAACTTTTGTGATAATTGCATTCCATTAGTTTTTCAAGACTGTTGAGGATCTGTCGAGCCTTGAAACTCTTGTGATGAATCACTTGTGTGCTTGCAGAAGTTGCTTTTAAATCTGTTATTTTTCATATGCTTCGGTTCCTAACTTCTAATCTCTTGGGCAGATACTTATAATTGTACATATGTTTGATTAACAGAACTAAATAAGAGCATTGAATAACTTTCCTTAAAAAACAGCAGGTAAATAGTAAACCTTGTCTCAGTTTCATCACCTATTTATTCTCAATTCAGTAAAATTTCCATAAGTGATGAGCTCAACTTTGCACTTTATCTTGTCTGCATATACTTATGTTTGCACCATCCTTTTTTTTTTTACATATCTTGTCTTTCGCTACTTGCACATGGTGAATAGTTCTTAAGCATGTCTACTGATTATGACTAGGGACAGTTAGTTAACACTCATGTACTTTGCTTAAAATAGCATGTGTGACATTGCAGTTCGCATAGGACAACACGGTGCTTTGCATTGTAAAAAGTTCATAACTTATTGATTTAACCAAATTCTGAATTACAATTACTTGCAGAAATCATTGGTGTACTAGCCACAGATGCATTGCTTACTGGAGCTAGTTGTATTTTATGCCACTTGGATTTTTCGTGTGCCTTAAGGCCTGTGAATGTGCTAAACTGCATTATTGGGAAACCACTGGGGTTGGAGATCAAATGTGGACCACAATCTTCTACTAGAAAGTAAAAGACATCCTTAAGATCGTACGCGGACATGTTTGGATACTGTGAATTTGCTCTTTGGGAAACATACTAGCAACTTAATATTTAAGCCATACTAGCAACTTAATATTTAAGACATCCTGTAAGCATTAAGCCCTGTTTCGACGAAGATCTGAATTAAAGAACTGATACGGAAACTAGCACAAAGGATGTGAGGAAAGGAAATGTCTTTTTCCTCACAAAGGATCTGAGGAAAGGATGTTTATTTGGTAATTCTTTTCTAAATATTTCGCTAAAGCTAAGATTCTTTTACTCAGTCTTGGGCACCATTTTTTCTTGAGAGTGCTATCCTTTGACCTTTGGTCTTGTTTTGCTGGTTTGCCCATTGTATCTTATTCTGTCTGTTTTGAGATGTGTGGTGAGGAAGTGCTCATATTAGGTAGTTGTGCCCTTTTGGTGAAACAGTCTTGAGTTGGTTTTAGTGTGGTAGGTTGCTTTCAGGGAAGGAGTGAATCTTCTGTATTGCCATGACTTGTCTAGCTATAAACAACCATAGAACTCAATGGGTTCTAGAACTTCTAGGTGTTTATATGCTGTTTCACTTGTGGCAAGTAGATGAGTCACATCCATCATACACTGTTTGACAGTATTTTGCTCTGAAGTTGGATCAACAGTTCAAATCATAAATCAACAGTACTACTCCGTCCCCCCCCCTCCCCCCCCCCAAAAAAAAAACGAATTCCTAGCTACAAACCTGGATACACATGTCTCCAGGTTCGTAGGTAGGATTGGTCTTTTTTTGGGACGGAGGGTTTTTTTTTTATTTATTTCTTTTCAGCACCTGTAGAGAATCTGGTTGCATTCACTCTGCTGATGAACTGGTGTTCATCTTATTAACCCAAATTGCGAATTCCCTGCATATATTTTCAGGCATGCTACAAGTACTTTGAGATGCAGGTGCAGATTGCTCCAGGCTTGGGTCTCGTCAGCAGCCGGTGCTCCCAACTGCTGATCGATGACGGCGACGGCAGGTTTGCATTGGCCCAACTTGATTTGCTGCTATCACGAAAGGATGCCCATTTTCCCAGCTTCCGTTTCACTGCATCAGCCTACCTGCAGCGATGAGCAACTTCTCGGGGTCCGGATACCGGTGTGCCGGCGACTGGCAAGGCAACAGGTATAGCTCTTATTTTTGCAGATGGTGACAGGTTCAACTAGGAGGCATTATCGAGCTTGAAACTTTGGAAGTCAAGCGCAACACACACGTCTGCACACCTGGGCGAACTGGAGCACAGTGGCAAATATTTTCTGTTTCCTCGAGACAGATAAGCTTTGAATAGCACACAGCCAGTCAACCACCAACAAAACAATTGCCGCAATCGTTGGAGCTGGGTCACAAGAATAATATATAACGAAGTGGCAGTCTTGCAGATAACACAGTTTATTATCCAAATCCTGCGCTGAAGCTTTACTCTGCAACAAGTGACAAAGCTCCCAAGAACCTTCAGACTCGATTAGTATCATCTTCAGACTTCAGTGAGTGTGTGTGGGACTCTAGGAGAGATCAAGATGTCCATTTCCAGGTCACAGTTAATGGAGATGTTCATTTCTGCAGCTATTGGGGATCTTATCAGAGGTCCATGTCCTTCTTAGTTGGGAAGTACTGCAACTGCAATCAGGCAACTGCTGAGGAGAACCTACAGAGGCTACGGCAGCTGCTTATGAGGATCAGTACCATCGTCGAGGAGGCTGAAGGGCGGCACGTCAGAAACCAAGGGATGCTCCAGCAGCTCAAGATCCTTAGAGATGAGATGTTGAAAGGCTGCTACATTCTCGATAACTTCAGATACCGAGCTATTCAAGACAAGGCCAAAGATGACGAGGTGAGCCATTCATTTGCTTTGTCCAGATTCAATCCTGCTAAGCGTCTTCGTTTCCCAACTAGTAAACCTCAACAAACGGTATTCAGTGGTGGGGAGGTAGAAGATTTGCAGAAGATGGTTCATAGGCTAGAAATCCTCATAGCTGACATGAAGGAGTTCATTGAATTTCTTGTGCAGTACCGTCCTATGTATCGCCAACCTTACAGCACGCATTTGTTTTTGGACAAGTGTATGTTCAATCGACATATGGAACTTGAACATGCCATTGAGTTCTTGCTACAGATGGAACCACCCGGTAGTTCAAATCTTGGTGTCCTCCCAATCATCGGTCCAAGACATATCGGAAAGAGCACTCTTGTTGAACATGTCTGCATCGATGAGAGAGTCAGAAATCACTTCTCTCTGATTCTCTTTTACAGTGGAAATTCCATGAAGGATGAAACACCAACCACTCTGAGAGAGAATTTTATCGTTAAGCATCGGGGTAATGCTTTCCACAAAAGATTGCTACTTGTCATTGAACTCTCCAGGTATGCTGATGAGGAGAAATGGAGATTATACTCTTCAGAACTGCGCATGCCACATGGTACTAAAATCATAATCACAAGTCGATCTGAGAACATCACAAGTTTCGGGACCACGCGACCTCTTAGACTGAGACCATTGACATGTGAAGCATTCTGGTATTTCTTCAAGGTACGCATCTTCGGAAGTATAGATCCGAAGAGCATGTGAAGCTAGCATCCATAGCCATGGAGATAGCAAAGGAGATGGAAGGATCGTTCATGCATGGAAACGTTTTTGCCGGCTTACTAAGAACAAATTTCAATGCTCAATTTTGGTACAGAGTTCTTGCATGGACCAGAGAGCACATCCCAAATAACCTCAATTTGTACAGTGAATATCCAGATGATGTTACAATGAACCATCCTGCCTATATCAAGGGAATAGCTCAGCCTATCAAACACTTTTGTATGTATGAACCTTACCCAAAAGGTTCTCTTGAAGATGATGTTCCAGATACAACAGTGCAAGATATGCTATGTGGAAAAGCTAAGGCTAGAAGCAATTCTGAAATCTTAGTATGGAAATCCCAGATTCCACCCTACCATAACTTTATTTCACGATGTGTGGTACAATCTTCACGAATCACAGCATGTTGTAGACGAGTTGGTGTTTGATGTGTGTTTATTTGCTCCTCTTTTTTAGTTATAACCTACATTTTCCTTGTACTCTATCTGAGCCATATTCTGATGTCTATTTGAACTATAAGATCTTAGAAGCATACGTTGGCTGTATTATGCTTGTCCATTTCTGTAAGTTCGAGATTAGTAATGGCTTGCTTTCCTTAGTTGAGCGAATGCTCTGGTTGTTCAGTCATTGCATTGCCCTGTCAGTTTCAGGCACTGGCAGCGTCTGTCAGGTCGCATGGGCTCGAGTTTGCTCACCCAAAGAGTAGGGTGGTTTGGGTATCCCCGATCTCAAGAGGTTGGGAGTTGCGTTGAGTTTGCTCACCCAAAGAGTATGGTGGTTTGGGTATCCCCGATCTCGAGAGGTTGGGAGTTGCGTTGAGGTCGCGATGGCTCTGGCAGCAACGGACCTCGCTGGACAAGCCATGGCAGGGGTTTAATATTCCACTTTCACAGAAGAAAGGCAACCTCATCTCGTCTATGGTATTCTCGGTGGGAGACGGGATTTCGGTGTTGTTCTGGGATGTTGGCTGCAGGGCTCTTTAATTCAATTGCTGGCGCCGGCCTTCTACGCAGCTGTCCCCGCCCGCTTCTAGAACAGGCGTACAGTGGCTGAGGCATTGCACGACATGAGATGGATTTGAGACATCTGTGTGGTGTTGAAGGTGCAAGCGATCCTGGAGTACTTCAAGCTTTGGGACCTCCTTCGATCTATGCAACTCTTGGGGGAACCCGACACGCTTTCATGGCGCTGGGAGACCTCGGGACTGTACTTCTCCCGCTCGGCGTATCGTGTCCTCTTCTTTGGAAGAACTCGCCTCCAACACAAGCCAATCTGGAAGTCTTTGGCACGGTGGCACCCCTTGTTGTTGGTACTTCCTTTGGTTGGTCGCCCTTAACCGCTGTTGGACAGTGTACCGTCTTCGGAGTCGTGGTATATCGCACCCGGCTCGCTGTCTTCTCTGTGATCAATACGACGAAACGATTGATCATCTCTTGGTCGCATGCCCGGAGTCTCGCCAGCTGTGGTGGATTGCTCTTAGAGCTATTGGGCATTCTGAGTGTTTACCACTCAACGAGCAATCTTTTCATTCTTGGTTGTATCACAGTCGCAAAAAGATGGCCAAGGAACATCGCCGGGGGTTCAACACCATCACAGCACTGGTAGCGTGGACGATTTGAAAGGAAAGAAACAATCGGGTCTTCAACTAGAATAGCAGACCATGGACAGAGATTGCTAGGGCTATGACGGGTGAAGCGGATCTTTGGCGACTGGCTAGAGCCGCAATACTGGTCATGGTAGTTCCTATGAATGGAGATGGGTCGCCAAATTCTTTGGGAGATTAGGCTTTTGTTTCTTCTTCCCCCTCTTGTATCTTGTCCCTTTCGGTTTTAATTTTTCGGACCGTTTTGTACATACATTTATTCCTTCTTAATACAATGATGTGCTTCTCGCGTATTCCCAAAAAGGTTCAGGCATTGAACAGAACGGAACTGTGCTGTGCTAATTCCGTTGCTTTCATAGTCCCAGGCCTATAATCTTTTTTTTTCTTGCTATATCGATATGAAATCTCGCATTGTTTGGTACTATTCGTTCCAGAAAACAAAAATGTTGCTTTCAGTCTGAGTCCAGCAACGACTTGTGCCAATTTTTTCTGTAGAATTCATAACCCCGCTGTTTTTATTATTCAGTCAACAGCTAGTGAGTCCAGCAACGACTTGTGCCATTTTTTTCTGCAAGAATGCATAACACCTCTGTTTTTTTTATTATTAGTAGCTACATGGTGCAAATAACCTAGTCCCCTGTTATCACCGTACCAAACTTCAACTCACAAATCACAATCTTTGTCAAAGATGTGATATCTCAGAGATAAAAGACCTGTGATTTCTTATGGAACAGGAAGGGTTAGTAAATTTGGTCTGATGAATCTGACCTGACAGTTTCTGTACGCCTAATCATCTGCACTTCGTGACCCAATCCTCACGGCATTGACTCTGCCCTTAGATAAGGCGTTTGGTCAGTCCTGCTACTCTTGTGCAAGCAAACAACACAACACCACCTGCAAAACTGCACTTCTCTGCTCTCATCTCTGCATCCATGGCACTCACTACTTTCTTCAGAGAAGGGTTCTTGATGGAGCTCTTATCTGCAATTCTTGGCGATTTTGTCAGCAGATCAATAACCTTCATGATCGACAGGTACCCGAAGCAGCGGCCATCGGTCGATGAAAATCTTCAGAGGCTGCACCATCTCCTTGTGCGGATCCGCACCGTCGTCGAGGAAGCTGAGCAGCGGCATGTCACGAACCATGGGATGATCCGTCAGCTCGAGCTGCTCAGGGAGCAGATGTTCAGAGGCCACTGCGTTCTTGACGCCTTCAGATTCAGAGATGAGGAGGAGGACGAGGTAACACCACGTTTTGCTCTGTCCAAATTCAACCGGGCTAAGCGTATCCGCTTCTCTGACAGCAGCAGCAACACTCAAATTCAGACAAGAAGCACGAACGATCTGCATCAGACTGTCACTAGCCTCGAGAGAATCATCGGTGACACCAAGGAATTCGTCGTGTTCTTGATGAGCTATCCTCCTGTGTATCGCCAGCCTTACAGCACGCATCTGTACCTGGATGGATGCATGTTCAACCGTCAAATGGAGAGAGAAAATGCCATCAGCTTCCTGCTGCAGAGAGAGCCTCTTGCAGTTGCAGAAGAAATTGTTCAGGTTTTGCCGGTTGTTGGCCCGGAATTCGTCGGGAAGAGCACTCTCGTTGAACATATCTGCCGTGATCAGAGAGTGCGTGAACACTTCTCTCTCATCTTGTATTACAGTGGAGATGATCTGAGATATGAGAAGGCAGAAACTTTCAGTGAAATTTGTCAAACCAAGCATCGAAATGAATCAAACGATGCCATGGATGGAAGATTGCTGCTTATCATTGAGCTCTTAGGAGATGTTGATGAAAGAACACTCAAGAAAATCCACTCTTCTTTCAGAAAGCAAATGACACATGAGATCAAAATCATGATCACAAGCCGATCAGAGAAGATCATCAGGTTGGGAGCCAAACAAGCTCTGAGGCTGAATTTCCTGCCATTCGAAGCCTACTGGTACTTCTTCAAGGTTCTTGCATTTGGAGCCACAGACCCAGAGCAGCATCCAAAGCTTGCATCCATGGCGATGGAGATCGCGACAGTGCTAAGAGGCTGCTTCTTGTGTGCACACATCGGAGGAGCTCTACTGAAAGCCAATTTCAACTCCAAATTCTGGAGCAGGTTTGTTGCGTTCGTCAGAGAGTACAGAGACGAAATTAACTCCCTTATGCCTTGTGATTGCCAGGATCATCCTAAGTTCGGTTGGGTAATTGTGAGACCTAAACCTGAAAATTACTTTGTACTGCGTGATAGCTACCAGAAGGCTCTTGTTGAAGATGATGGTCCAAAGATTAAGCTGGTTGATTTGCTGTCTGGACGCGTCAGGCGCCGAGGGAAATTCGAGGTTTTGGTGTGGAAATCTCGGATTCCTCCTTATTACAGCTACATATCAAATTGTGTTATGTACTAGGTTAAATGACATGTGGTTCAGGCTTTCAGTAGGTTGGTGCATGGAATGGTTATTTGCATTATGGATTTCCTTTTTTTTTTAACTTCTGAACTGATTTAGATGCTGAAGGTTGACACTGCAGAGTGCAGTAGACTGCTTTCTCTCCTGTGATACTGAATTCATTTTCCTTGAGTTCAAAAAATATACCGACTGCAGTATAACTACTACTAGGATGCTAGCTGTACTAAGAATCGGCACTAAATACTGGCAGTTTGTTTGACCAACAATCAAATTATAAATTTCTTGTTGAAAAGTGACACGGTTGCTCGATCACATTTTCCAGTATTTAATCTCAGGACACAGTACATACACACAGGTGTGTTAAGTGATAAAAACACGTGGCTAGTGTCCTGTAATCTCGTTTAGACGTGTGCTAGAAGCCTAGAACACACGACGGCGATGGTCGGGAATGACGTCACGTGCGGTGCATGCCTCGTCACGGTCTTCTCTTGGGCCCTGGGGTATATGCCTCGTGTAGGCCAGACATGCAGACGAGCTACAGTGACTATAGTAAGTATTCTCTCCGATTCGATAATTAAACAATAATAACACTGTCTCTAAAATATATCTTTAACTAGATTTTGTAATATAATATATATAATAAATATGATTTTATTTTTATTATGCTGATTTGTAAAATAAATTTACATATGGCGTGATAGTGTCTTTAAATTATATATTTTAAAGTTATTGGTAATCAAAATTATAAAAAGTTAACCTTAACCTTATTTAAAACGTTAATAATACAAAACCGAAGGGAGTATATGCTCATCAAATCGAGGTGGATTTTCCTCGTGTACTGTAGGCCAGACATGCAGACGACGCGCTACAGCAAAACAAGGACTCGTTGATCCATCAAAATTTTTTTTGGGGAATACACAAGGAGCGCATTTTTTCCCTTAAGAGAAATAAAAGTTATTTACAGTGAGAAATGAAAAACAAGCACGGGACCGATACTGGAGACTAGTGATCTAACATGATATCTGGCGCTAGATTTGGCTACCACGACCTCACAGAGGTAAAATGGAAGGGACCCCTGCATTTGTCGACTTCCAAAGTACGGCTTCTTCCACCATTGCTTTCGCCACTTCGATCCAAGACTTGGACTGCTGATTGAAGATCCGATTATTTTGCTCCTTCCAAATCGACCAAGCCATCAGCGTTGTAATGGTGTCAAAGCCCCAGCGATGTTGCTCTCTCAATTTCATCCGGCTTCCACAAAGCCAGAGGTGAAAGGATGGTTCGTTGATGGGTAGACAATCTGGAATGCCTAACGCTCTTAATGTCCACCACCAAAGTTGCCTCGACTCTGGGCAGCCTACCAGAATGTGGTCAATGCTCTCCTCCTTTTGGTCACAAAGGACACAGCGGTCCAGGTGAGGCAACCCCTGGCTTCGCAGACGATCGGCGGTCCAACATCTGTTTATTGCTACCAACCACAGGAAAAAGCGGCATCGAGGTGGAGCAAGTGATTTCCAAATCGGGGTCGAGAGGAAGGAGATCCGACCAAAGAACAGAGCCTTGTAAGAAGATCTTGAGATGTACTGACCCGAGCTTTCCCATTTCCAGCTGAAAGAATCAGGAGTGGTAGGGATACAGGTCGCCAAATGAAGTAGCGACCAAAGCTTCAAATACTCTAGGATGGCTTGGATCCCAAGTGCCCCGGCGATATCCTTGATCCATCTACGATCCGTTAGTGCCTCAGCCACCGTCCGGTGCCGGCGCATGCAAGGCGAAACGCGATCGTAGATGTTAGGAGCAATGGACCGGATGCAGCCCTCTTGCAGCCAGCTATCCTCCCAGAAGAGGATCGTTTGTCCATCTCCCAGCTGACAGACTGTGGATGCAGCCACGAAGCTCTTCTCTTTTTGCGACCCCGGGATGTCTAGGCCTTTCCATGGTTTACCTAGTGAAGTCCGCTGTAGCCAAGTCCATCTGGAGCGAAGTGCAATACCCATCAACTCCAGATTCGGCAAGCCTAAACCGCCATAGTTCTTAGGAGCACACACCCTCGACCAAGCGATCCGACAGCAACCTCCATTGGCTTGCACTTTGCCTGCCCAGAGAAACCCGCGCTGGATTTTGTCAATTCCTTTGATCACCCACTTGGGTGCGTCGACAGAAATCAGCAGGTAGATTGGGATTGCACTGAGTACAGCCTGCACCATTGTTACACGACCTATCGACGACATTTGGTTGGATTTCCAAGCTGGAAGCCGCTGGGCTATGCTGTCAATGAATGGCTGCAGGTCTTCCTTCTTCAACCGGAAGATGGAAAGGGGCAGACTAAGTATTTGCAGGGGAAGGAAGCAATAGGGCAGGGCAATTCTGGCTGTATCTCAGCAAGCAACTCCTCAGAGCACTGAATCGGCAGGGCTGAACATTTGCCAAAATTTGTCCGGAGCCCAGAGGCCTCACCGAAGATGCTTAGGATTTCAGTTGCGACCTTAACCTCCTCAATCGTCGGTTTGATGAAAACGACCACATCATCAGCATAAAGAGAGATTATGTGAGGGATTCCCAAATCCTGCAATAGCCCCTCGTGTTCCGCCTTTTGAAACAGAAGGCTGAGAAAATCCATCACGAGGATGAATATCATTGGTGAGATTGGGTCGCCTTGGCGGACTCCTCAGCGGTGATGAATCTCATTCCCGGGATTGCCATTGATTAACACTCTTGTTGTTGCAGTTCAAAAAAGCATAGCGACCCAAGCACACCACCGATCACCGAAGCCCTTGTGTTGATCCGTCAAATTTTCTTCAGATCTTTTTTTACGACATGCAAAAACGAGGGACACTTTGCCGATCAAGTCTTCAATTCGGTCTTAACTTGACTCTCTGTCACTTCATTTCCGCCCGGAAATTTAGACCATAGACCAAGACCTGACCAAGTGAAAATGCACTAGCTTGCTAATTACTCCCTCCGTCCCATAATATAAGGGATTTTGAGTTTTTGCTTGCAATGTTTGACCACTCGTCTTATTCAAATTTTTTTTCCAAATATAAAAAACGAAAAGTTGTGCTCAAAGTACTGTAGATAATAAAGTAAGTCTCAAACAAAATAATAATAATTTCAAAAAAAATTGAATAAGACGAGTGGTTAAACGTTACAAGCAAAAACTCAAAATCCCTTGTAACAGGGGACGGAGGGAGTAATTAATGTAGTTACACCTACGCTGCATCGATGATCACTGTAGTCTGTATCCTAACAGTGTCTAAACTCTGAAGAAAACCTCGCCATGGAGCTCTTTTCTGCAATCCTCGGTGACCTCACTAGCAGGTCCATCTCCTACGTCATGGACAGATACTGCAGCAACCAGCCGGCGGCGATCGACGACGGCGTACGGCAGCTGCGCCGGCTGCTTCTACGGACACACACCATCGTCGAGGAGGCAGAAGGGAGGCATATCACCAACCAAGGGATGCTCCCGCAGCTCAAGGCCATGAGAGACGAGCTGTTCAGAGGCCACTACGTCCTCGACACCTTCAGACACCGGGCTGATCTCCTCCAGAAAGAGGAGGAGAAAGAAGATGAACAGGTGAGAAGCTCGTTTGCAATGTCAAGGCTCAATCCTGCCAAGCGAATCCGTTTCTCTCGTGCTAGAACTAGTAGCTTTCAGGATTTGGAGTCCATGATTCGTAGCCTGGAAGACGCCATTGCTGACACAAAGGAGTTCATCGTGTTTCTGATGAGCTGCCCTCCGGTTATGTACCGGCAACCTTTCAGCACGCATCTTTATCTGGACAAGTGTATGTTCAGCCGTCAGATCGAGCGAGAACAAGTCATCGATTTCTTGCTGCGGATTGATCCTGATCCTCATGGTAGTTGTAATGACATAGGTGTTCTTCCGATCATTGGTCCCGCGTTAATCGGGAAGAGCACACTGATTGAGCATGTCTGCAGAGATGAGAGGGTGAAGAGCCACTTCTCTCTGATCTTGTTCTACAATGGAGACGAGCTGAAGCATGAGACAGTGGCCACTTTCAGAGACAGATGTATCATCAAGCACTAAAACAACTGTACCTCATCACCGAAAACACTGTTGCTCGTCATCGAAATCTTAGGCGATGTGGATGAAGATACATGGAAGGAGCTGTATTACTCCTCCGAAAACCGCATTCCCCGTGGAAGCAAGATCATAATCACAAGCCGATCAGAGGTACGACAGGTGCTCTTAGGCTGAAATGCCTGCCAACTGAAGCCTACTGGTACTACTTCAAGGTGTTTGTGTTTGGAAGTGCAGATCCTGATGAGCATCCAAAGTTGACATCAATAGCTATGGAGATTGCAGCAGAGCTGAGAAGATCTCTATTTTGTGCTCATGTTGTTGGTGCCTTGCTAAGGGTTCATCTTGACGCCCATTTCTGGCGCAGGGTTCTTGAAGGCACCAGAGAGTACATGCAGAAGAATCTTATCTTGGCAAGCGAATACCCTCATGATCTGAAGACGGACAAGAACCATCCTCGATACGCTTGGATAATTAGTGAACCAAAGCCTATCAAATCCCTTCTAATCTACGACAGTTACCAGAAAGGTTCTGAAAACGCTGAGGTTCCAAATATTACAATTCAGGATCTGCTGTTTGGAGAAGCTTCAGGTCGGGGGAAATTTGATATCTTGCTCTGGAAATCTCAAATGCCACCATACTGTAGCCACATCTGCAGCTGTGTTGTCTAGAAATTTTTTTTTCCTTCAGATGGTTTTGCCCAGATAATATATACCATGACAAATAATAGGCAATTAGGTCTTTAGGTAGCAAATAATTGCAGAATAAATCCATTTTCAGATGGTTAAGCTCCTTGTCTGCAAAATCCCTTTGTTTTGTACCCTATAGAATCTGCATCACAGTAAAGCTTTCTGTTAATCACGTCGGGCTTCTGCAGTACATATGAACCAGCTGTCAGCTGTCACTTTATTCAGAGGAACCTGAATCTGCTTGTGCCAGCCAAACAGCTTTACGAACAAGGTAAGCCCAATCAAATCACAAACGAAACCAAAGCTGGCAGCACGTAGGAAACGCTTTGCTGGTAACAGAAGGGAGTTCAATAACAGCCTACAAAATTCTGAAACGTAACAAGCAACTCCGATATACAAATTCGACTGACATATCGGGGACTCTTGACCAAATGCGACACCATTATTTGTTTGATCAGATCAGCACTTGCACAGTGATTTACGGATAGACAAAATTCAAAGTTGACCGCAAACATAACTTGATACTGCAGGCAGTACATGCATTTCACTTCCGACCAAGAGTGGGGAATTGGGATTGGTCTTTGATTTCTGGAGCTGGTGGAGCTGCAGAGCGATGGCCCTCACCATATCCACCCCTGAAACCGCCACGATCCCCGCGGCCCCTGCCACGACCACGGCCGCCATAGTACCTCTCTCCTTCAGCTGGTTTTAGGAACTCGTTGATGCTCACAGACTGAAAAAATTGACCCCCAATCAGTAAACACTGAGTACATAATTAAAGCATTTCTTCTAATTGAAAGCACCAAAGCATGAAGAATCCCAAATGAACAGATAATAGGCTAACAGCAGATCAGACAAAATGTAAATGAAGTTGTAACAGCAGTTCAGACTTCAGGAGTGTAAAATGAATACAATACAAAAGGCAAAGTAAATTTACCATGACCAGATAAAACAGGCTGATGGTAACAAGTGGTTGATTATGCCAGAATATTAATAGTAAAAATCCATTAGCTTGTTAGGGGAGAGGTAGAGATATCTAAGGTAAGATGGGAACATGTAATACCTTCTTAGCACGCTCATCACGTTCAGCATTTTCTTTCTTCTTCAAAGCATCCTTGTCAGATCCCTACAGCGAAAAATTATCAGTCCATCAATATTTCCATCGGTTGAAGAGAATGGAAGGATTACAAGGCGTAAATGGCAAAGGTACCAGTTTGATGAAAACTTCATCATTTTCTTTCTTATTGGAAAGTGGTTGCATAGACTTCAAATCCTTGTCAATTTCAACCTTCCTCTCTTCAGTCTTCAAAGAAAGAAGTGCTTTCCTCTTCTCCTCCCTTAATTTCTCAAACTCCTCAAGAGTCATTTCCTATATCATCAAACATTTGAATCATAAGAGAGGAGGTATGGACAAATATAATACACTCCTAGACGACTGTTGTAAAAGGAAGTTATAGGAGTAATTCAGAAAACAAGGGCACAATTCACCTAAAAATTAGTATGCACCAAAATTATTTGTTCAAAAAGTACTCACATATGAGCACACAAGCAATCAAAAGAAAACAAGTAACCAGCCAGAATGGTTTCAGCTTAGAGTACTGTTACTTCATATTGTGGCCAACCTACAAAATAATTATGACAAACTTATGGCCATATGGCTATCAAAATCAATACTTCATTGGACAGTTGTTTGTAGTCAGAAATGGAGAGCCCTCAAAGTCTTTAGAAGATCTGCTACTCTCATTTTTAGCCATTTCCTCAGAGAAAAAGGAAGTCATTAAGCCATCTCAACTTTGTGGCTGCTGGAAAACTAAAAATTGTGCAAGTACCCTTTGGGACCACAGTGACTAACAATAAAAGGAACATTTTCACACATAAATCCAACTATGACTAATCAGGCAAGGAAAAGTGACATTTTTGAAGCCAGCAACAAGTCATGTTCACAAACCTTACCAATTGGCAAGTTCAAACGAATTATATTAACGTGTCTTACTTTCTATAATACTAAAGATATAGTATAAATCTAAAAATCTGCATTCCATATTGATTTAAGTGATCAGAAGTATACCTTATCCTCTTCCTTTTCTTCCTCATTTGGAGTGACATCTTTGTTATCCTTGTTCTCATCTGCCTGTGGAGCACCCTCCGGTGCGCCTTGCTTCTCAGTAACAGGGGCCTTCTCATCCAATTTCAGGGCTTCCCCAGTTTCCCTGACCAATCAAACAACACAATAAGTACTTATATCTCCATAGTATGGACATGAACAGCTTAAATGATGAGCCACTTACTGGGCGAGAATTTCATCAGTGGTAGTTCCCCAGTTCCCACGCCCCGAACCCTCACGCTTCATCTCATACCCACGGCCAGTGCCGCTATGGCGCTCATATGGCCTCCGAGACATCCTCTCAGAGTCATCACCATACCCACCTCGTCGACCTCCTCCCTGGAAGGGTGGCCGAGGGCCCCTCTCCCTGTCCTGAGCGCCTTCTTCACCTCCAGCTCTGCTACCACCGCCTCCACCATATCCTCCCTGGAAGCCATTCATTTCTTCACCTCCAAAGTCTCGGTTTTGACCATAGCCTCGCCCACCTCTGCCTCGGCCGCGTTCTCCGCGCCCATACCCTCCGCGTGAGGGTGCACTGCCATCTCGAGACTCCCTCACTGAAACAAAACATGTATTAAACATAACCATTTCACTAAGTAAAAAGAAGCCTTACATACCAGAAAATGGTAAAATGAAATCAAAACTCATATCTTTACAACCTACATATCCATGGAATCAAAATTTTATGCTGTACGGAACAATCGTTAGAAGAATCCTATATAAGTTGACAAGACCCATCATTTAATAATCCTAGAGAATAAGAACAGGAACAAAAGCGAACGCGTATCCCCCAGATCTAGAACTCCAGAACCTCAACCACAAAACTCACCGGCCTGTGAAGGGGGAGCCGGCTTGGTGGGGAACTTGGAGGCGGCCGGCTGCGCGCCGCCCTTCCCGGCGGCCGGAGCCGCCGCCGCCGCCGCGGCCTTCTTCGCCTCGGCCTTCTGCGCCGCGACGGCCGCCTTGGCCAGCAGCTGCGCGGGGTCGTCGTTGTCGTCGCCGCCGAGGAGGTCAAAGGGGTTCGCGGTCGCCATAGGTGCGAGTTCGACGGCCTACAAAAAAAATCACGCTACAAGCTCGCTATCTTCGTGTGTGGGGTGGGTGACTGGGGAACTGACCCCTCCTGGCTACGAGGCTCGCCTGCCGGACTGCATCGCCATGGCTCTCCAGCCGCCAAGATCGAGGGCGTGGGAAAGGCAAGAGTCGGCGGCGGCGGCGGCGGCGGAGAGAGAGAGGAGAGAGACGTAGTGAGGGGGGAGAGGGTGTGTTTGTGAGGAAAGGAATAAAACCCTAGCCGCAATCGCGCTTTCTTTTTTTTTTTTCTTTTTGCCCACTAGCCGCGCCGAGCCGAGTCCATATCCTCTCGCTATCGTTTCGCCCGCGTGAAATTACCTCGCTGCCCCTACCTTCAACGCGACGTTTACGCGAGTTTAGGCGTGGGTTTTGAAGGGTAGTTATGGAATTTGATTTTCGTGTGGGCCCTACGGATGGGTGGGGGTGCTGCCATCCTGGGCCGGACCCGGGGGGTACGTTGGTCTATTGGGCCGGAACGGGATCCTCTGTGGTGTGTCCAAGCTGAGGAAATTATACTCCCTCCTTTCCTAAGGTTGTTAACGATTTTGCTATATATTTGTCGACAAATTTTCTCTAACAAATTTGACAGATATAATTATAGTATAATTGTAGTGTAATTACACTGTAACTATAGTATAACTTGTATGTAACTTTCAAAAATCTCTTTGTAATATGTTATTTCGATAAAATGGAGGTTGTGGGAACAAATCCTTACATATATATGTGTGCTGTGATTTTTTTTCTTCCTCACCAAAATAAATCTTGTAATAGATTTAACGATTCAAAATTACGTGAAACTTATATACAAGTTACACTCTAGTTACATGCAAGTTACAGTGTAATTACATATAAGTTACAGTGTAGTGTAATTACTTCTGTCAAATTTTTAGGAGAAAAATTGTCGTCAAATGTATAGGTGGTCCCGGTTGTTAATAGGCTGCCTTGTTAATATGAACGAAAGAATAATGCTCAAGTTTCACACCATCCTTGTATTTCAGTGCAATTTTTGATGTGCCAGTCAGATAAGTTTGTCAATAGTTTGTCAGGATAAAATGTACTCCCTCCGTCCCATAATATCTATTGTCAATGGCAATCTAGGACTGTTTCGTTATACTATGAAATGTTCCATCCGGTACTATGTTGCTATATTATGGGACGGAAGGAGTATCAAATAAGAAAAACTGCAGCACGGGAAAAAAAATCAGGATTAATTGATAGTACAACACTGATAGACATCTTGGACACTGAAAGATATTATGAACAGTCAAAACAACAAACTAGAACTATTGGTTTGGTTAATTAAGAGTTGAAGTTGACAACAGACTTTATCTTAAGTAATTAGCCTCAAACAACAAAGGTAGTGTCCAAAATGTAAACCTTTAGGACTAACTACATAAGGCACTTGAGGAGAAAACACGCAGACAAACAATATTTGGTGACCTCAGAGCTGTTGAAGCATTTTGCAATACAAGGTACAAACAGAGTCCCAAACTTACCAGTCAGAGAGTAAACATAAATCCCATGATTGCATCTCACATGTATTAAATTTCTCAGACAATTCCCAGATTAATCCTGTATTTCGATAGGGAACAAAAATCCCCTTCAACATAGAACTAGACACGATTGTCCTAAAACAGCTTATCACAAACATTAAACAGCCTACCTAGTAAACAATGATGAACATGCACTATAGATTATAACACAGGGTAACCACAACTGCTCGCAGTTATTTCTGGGCCTGATGACAGACAGTATTGCAATCCAAATAACATCAAACTATGGCCCTGTTTAGTTCCAAAGTTTTTTTTCCAAACTTCCAACTTTCCATCACATCAAATTTTTTATACACACACAACTTTTCTATCACATCGTACCAATTTCAACCAAACTTCCAAACTTCAGTGTGAACTAAATACAGCTTATATATATTGTTAACATCTAGCTCAATAGCTAGGGTCTTTTTTTTTCAAGCGCGCAAAAGGATTGCACGTCAATATATTAGAAGGAAAAGAGTTTTTGTTACACAGCGTAATCGGCACAGTAGCTAGGGTCTTTGTTTCACCCAGATGAGCTCAAAGCATCCAGAGATAACAAACCTAGCTAAATCAACAACATGCAGCACCAAATCATCCAAAAAAAACTAACTTTCCACCAATCAGTTACTCCCCAGCAGAATTTTTTTTAGAAATAATATTATTTTAATGAAAAATCACAAAATTAGTGGCCATCCGGAGGAAATCGCGAATTTGGGGACCGGTCGAATAGCTGCACTTCGATAGGCCACCTATCGAATGGCAAGCGTTCGACTAGGGCTAGTCGAATGCTGGGGATTCAACAGGGCAGCGTATTGAACGGAGGGAGTTCGGCTGGTCCCACCACCTGGCGCCGCGCGGCTTGTCGAACCGGGGGCGTTCGACAGGTCCTCTCCACCGCCCCTGTCGAACAATGGGAGTTCAACAGGCCCTTTTAAAGGCGCGTCCGACCCGGTCGAGCTGTTGTTTCATTGTTATCAGGACCACATCGCCATCGCCGCCGCGAGTCACCCCTTGGGTCGCCGTGCGTGCCGGAGGGAGCGATGGGAGGGTGTAGCAGGCCGGAGAGAAGCTTGAGCAGGCGTCGCCCAGGAGGAAAGGGTAGGCGACGGTCTCAACCAGCAAAGTTAAGGTATAAATTACTAATCCCTAAGTATGAGGCCTATGAAATTAAAAAGGGCTTGTGATTTGTTAATTGTTTCTCATTGTTCAATGTTAGTGACGGAGCGTGAGGCTCCTCACCGGGAGACCGCGCAGGCCCCCCTTTGCCGGTTCGGCCGGGGGCGCTGAGTGAGGTTCTTCACCCTCGATCTGTGGAATGTACGCGAGAGAGCAAACGCACGAGACACAGGCGATGTAGACAGGTTCGGGCCGCTGGGAAGCGTAATACCCTACTCCTGTGTTCTGGTGGGCATGTGTGAGAAAAAGTTACAGAGAGCCGGCAAGCAAGAGAGTTCCAGCTCTAGAACCCCTCCTTTTTCCTCCTCCTTTTCCTCCTCTTTTTCTTCTCTTTCCTTTTTTCTCCCCCTCTTCTCGTGGGCAAGGTCCTCCTTTTATATTTCAAGGGGATACCACATGCACCACTTCTAACTACTCTTCCTTTGGGTGGAGACCCACCCTATCTTGACCAAATCTTGACACGCGCCTCCGCCTTGAAGCTGAATCAACGCCTGTCTTTGAATGATGCCCAGCGCCGTCACTTGTCAGACACAGGGGATCACCCTGTCATTTCTTCATCTTCCGGCGGAGATTTGCAATGGCCGCTGTTCGAATGACCCTCCGATGGGATGGGTCATACCTGCCTCCACTCCGCCGGAAGCTGATGCAATATGAGAGCACGGTTGTCTGCTGATGACGTGACCGGCGTCGGACCAGTGACAGACCGGTCATTCTTGTCCACCACGCGTCAGTTCGGCATGCCACACACCTGCCCTTCTTCATACAGTGCCTTCCTTGCAATGGTTGCGATGAAGCCTGGCATGAATCGAGCCGGGACTGACGTGCTAATCCCAGGAGTTACCATGCTGGCTCCAGCTAGGGACGAGTGCCAAGAGGCTCTCATCATTCCGACGGAACGGGGCGAGGCGTATGACAGGCTGCCTGCTGCCATCTAACCCGCGATCTGACCGGTCTGTGACCGGTCACACACTGCGACCGGTCACGGACCGGATATGCGTGCGCCATGCCGCATTAAATGCGGCGTGGCGCGCTTGTTCATCCCGCAATAAATGCGGTTAGGTGAGCGCCGCTGTGCCCACCTAACCCACACACGTGGCGCCAATACCACAGGGGGTCGGGGCGCCCCAGCCCTCGGGGCCGAAACAGGAGCGGCCCGACCCCTCGGGGAGACAGAGGAGGGGGTGGCCAAGTCTCCCTCGGGCCCGACCCCCCCGAGGGGGTCAGGCCACGTGGGTGACCGCGGCTGCCCAAGCCTCTAGTCACGATACCCCCGATCCCATGTCACCGACAGTAGCCCCCGGCGTTATGCCAGGGCGATCGCCCCCCTCGAGGGAAGCGCTCGGGCGTGACGCCACTCCTTAGGTCTGGTGACCGGTGGGACCGGCCTCTACAGGCGGGCAGGAACCCAGCGGTCGCAAATCGCGCGCATCGGCTAGGGAAAAATGACCGATAATAATGAGTGGCCTCTTCGAGACCGCTACATTTCTCGAAATAGCGCGCGAATCGGGACGAGCCGGTTCATTTCGCCTGGAGATATGATGATGACGCTTCGGTCGGCGAGCGTAGTTAACGCGCGCACGATATGTCCCATCTCGACTGCCACGGCCGCACATCCGCCTCGTGCGCCGCAAACGGGCGAGTGGGATTAGTGGAGGCGTGGGCGCGAGAAACGAGGGGGCGAGATAGTGGGCGCGGGAAACGAGGAGCCAGGAATAGCGTTGGCAAGGGTATAAGGGTGCCAAGGAAGAGATTCGTTTCCTTCCTCTCGCCATTATTCCCCTTGCCTTCGCCGCTTGCGCCCTAACTCCTCGTTTCCTGTGCCCTACCTTTGCCGCACTCACTCGTTCTCAATCTCCTCCTCCGCCGGCGTCATGGCACGGGGCTCCGCACCGCTCGACGGTAGCGTGCTGCCGCCTTCCCGCATCGTGAGCGAGAGGCAGGCCGGGCTGCCGCGCCGATTCATGCCGGCATCTGCCGCCGGCCGGGAGGCGGTCGAGCTGGGCGAGGGACGCCCGGCACCACACTACCCGGGGCGGTCCGTCTTCTTCCTCCCTTTCGCAATGGCAGGGCTGGTCCCACCATTCTCTTCTTTCTTCATGGATGTTCTGGAGTTTTATGATCTCCAGATGGTGCACCTTACGCCCAACGCAGTAATGACGTTGGCCATCTTCGCGCACCTGTGTGAGATGTTTATCGGGGTGCGCCCATCTCTTCGGCTGTTCCGGTGGTTCTTCACCGTACAGCCAGTGTCGCCGCCGTCGGTAGTTGGTGGCTGCTACTTCTAGCCGCGGGGGCCGGTGCTGAGCCGCTACATTCCCTGCGTCCTCCGCAAGAAATGGGACGACTGGAAGAGCGACTGGTTCTACATCCCCCTCGCCGACGAAGCGCGCCTCCGACTTCCGAGCCAGCCCCCAGCGCAGGTCTCCAGCTGGCGGGCGCCGGTAGATCTGGGAGACGGCTACGACGCCGTTCTTGACCGCCTGGCGGGTCTGCGATCCCAGGGGCTCACGGGGGCCATGGTGTACGGCGACTACCTTCGTCGCC